GATACATATAGAATATATAAATATGACAGGTGGTAACTGAGAGTAGGTATTGATTTTATCGACACGTTTTGAGATATAATAACACTTACCGACTGATAACAGATTTCATTCAGAAAATTTTTTAGACAGCTGTTTAAATTTTTTTCTGCTACATTGAAATAGAAAACACCAGAAAAGAACCTTTAGAATTAAAGAGAATTAATTTTATTGACAATTCTATTTCTTGAAGGTAGTGTAAGAGGAAAATTTAGAATTAAAAATAACTTTCGTATACGGACTAGAAGATCGATAATAATTCTATTTTATTTGAAGGCTTGTTGCCGAGTAGGATACAATTTTAGAGAATTATTAAAACTATTAATAAATTTTTATCCATTTTTTACTCAGAAAAATATGTATAATTACATATTTTTTTATCCTCCATTATGAAGCCATATTGATAGCCATGGATATAATGAGAGATATATTTAAAACATATTACTATATCTAATTCAATCTAAAAAAAAAATTAATCGAAATGAGTGCGTGTATTTGACTTTCGCTTCTACTCTCAAAAAATACCTAAACTTTGTGAAAGCTGTTTGCGATCGCAAAAGCCATGAGATAGATAAGGACAATGTAATATTTCTTGTCTTTTCTATCTCAGGCAATAATTCAAGACAGCGCATGGCTGTTTGATTTATGATTTCAATTGTTTTTAATTGCCCCCCAAAGCCCTTGATGGTTCCCCTAAAAACCCTTTTCTGCATTCGTCCCTGATCATTCATCAGCATTCGTCAGAATCAGTCTCAGCAAGTCTCAGAATTAAAAGATGTAAACAGAGGCTCAGAGAGTCAATAATATACATATAGTAATTATTATAATAACTAAAGAAAATCGTGAATAATTTGAAAAAATAATTACAATATTTTAACATATTTAAAGAAGTTTTAAAGTTTAATTATACATAATAATTGTTCTACTAAACCATATTGTTTTTCTTTTTAATAATTAAAAGGCCAGAATCAGAATGAACAGTCTTATACTCGGCAAACTTCGTGTAATTTCGTACATTAGTCTCGTGCAGGGTGACTCGTACTCTATCGCGAAATATTCGTCATCAACTGCAGAAGGTTTGTTTGCTTCACATTTTGTTCATTTCTCGAATTTTTCGTGACGTTTCATCGAATTAATCTCGAATAATCCTGCTGACTTAACCGGAAGTCATGTGATTATAAAAACGAATATCATCTGGGTGCGTAGGATAACAACGAGGTTCTTCGGGAAGCATATAACATACACGGTCGGATTTTATCTTTTAATTTTAACGTGTTCATTTGTGATTTAGTTATCAGAAAGAAACAAATATTTGTAAAGCAAAATAGGAAAGATCAACTGGTAGATTATTTTTTTTTATGTGAGAGAGAATAGTCTTCTTTGACTGAAGTGCAGTTGACAAGGAATGACATTGATGTATGTGTAGGTTGATGAATTTTAATAGTTTTCAAAAATTATATAGATATTTTTGAACTTTAGACTTATGTGTGTAAAAGAAATTTTTAGAATTAATTAATAATTATTTAAATTAATTAAATTTTTTTTTGAAAAAACGATTTTTATTATACTTTTTAAATGCTCTTAAGAAAGTATTACTTTTAATTTTTTAATTGGTATACTATTTATAAAAGGTCGAATTTAATACAATTTGATTTTTATTCTTATAAGTTTTGACCCCTGCGAGAAGGCAACTCGTACTACTGGCGCGTATATGAAATATCAAATATTAAATATAAAAAAATACTTTCTAACTAAAATAATTTAGTTAATTGTAATTAAATAAATATACCTATTATTTTATTCATTGAACAAGAATTATATTTTTTTGGAAAAAAATTTGACTTTTACAAAATTAAGTAAATATTTATTACAAAATTTTTGTTTAATTTTCTTTTGAACTCAAATTAGAGAATTTCATACAGATCCACGTATATGTCTTGCGCGGCGGAGTCTTCATATCGATTTAGTAGCTTATCACCATAAAAAAAGTTTTTTTTGAAATACACACAAATAGAGAAAAACATTATTTAGTAAACACATGAAAAATAAAAAAAAAATACTTTTATTTTTTAGTAAAAATATCTTATCAAGGTTTTAAAAATAAAAGTTTGTACATGGATATTTATTTTGAAAAATCGGATATCTTTTCAGTAAATAAAGAATATTTCTGAAAATTGTAAAAAATGATTAAATTGTAAAATTTTTAATATTTTGAAATTAAGAGAAGCTTCTTTTACTATTTTTCTTAAACTATTGACTTTATCAAGGAAAAAAAAAAAAAAAAAAATTAAGTCTTACATTCCAGCGAGTTGGCAGCCCTTCCTGCGCGATGATTATATAAAAGTGACTATCGCAGGTAGGAGTCTGTGTATGTATGCATGTACATCTGCAGAGAGAAACTCGTATAGAAGCAGAAAGAACGTGTTCTTTTAAAGTTTTAGTAGTGTGCGAACACGGGCGGGTTCTACGGGCGTGTTATTTTTTATTTTTCCAGTTTACTCTAATTTTGGATTATTCTTATCAGGGGACAAATGATAAAGGAGGTTTGAGAGAAAAAAAAAATAATTGAGCACGATAAAAAAAATGTCGGAAAGATCACCACGATTGCGTGCGCTACGTCCGAGGCCTCAACAACAACACCAGCAGGCAAAGTCCGAAACGTCACCAAGAAGAATTGAAGTTAAAAGAAAAGATGTCAAAGATGAAGAAGAATCAAATGATGAAACAACAAATCGTCGTTATAATAAGGAACGAAACGTTGAAATTACATCAGACAATGATCAACATCCTGGTGAAAGTCCTCGGAAAACAAATAAAAAAGATATCAAGGACATAGTTGAAGGAGATTCCTCAGGGGATGATAAACAATATGAATGCAAAATTTGTACTCCACCTAAAAAGTACACAACTCTCAAGCTTTATATGCAACATTTTAAAACAGAACACGATAGTGATAAAAAATCAAAGGTAATTTTGTAAAATATATTTTCATTTTCTTTATACTACAAAAAAAAAATTATCTTTATTTTTTCAGGAGGAAGGTAAAGAAGTTCAAATCAAGTCACATTTAAGGGGGAAATTTTTTCGATGTGTCAAATGTAACTATATAACGAATGTTCGAGCTCGTTTCACAAAACATGTTAAATATCATTCCATGCCTATGATAAAATGTGACACTTGTGATTTTCGTACTCCTTATAAGGTCTGTTTTATTTAAAATAATTTTTATTTTTATCAATTACAAAATACAAACCTGAAGTACGCAACGTTTAGGATAAACGATTTTTAAAGAAATAATTTTTTAAAATCAAAAAAAATTCTATAATTTTATGCCTAAAAAATATTTTTTTATTAATTTGTTGATCAATGAAAACTACAAGAAATATTTTTTAGGCAAAAAATAGAATAGAAATAGTATTAGAATTTTTAGAATATAGAATTATAGAATTTTAGAATAGAATTTTTAGAAGAAAAAAGAATAGAATTTTATAGAAAGATAGAATTTTATAGAATAGAATAGAATAGAATTAGAATTTTTATGGAATTTTATAGAATAGAATAGAATTAGAATTTTTATAGAATTTTTAGAATAGAATAGAATTTTTAGAAGAATAGAATAGAATAGAATTTTTCCAAGAAACAAATTTTGTATTATCCAAAGAAATAAAATTCTATTCTATTCTATTCTATTCTGTAGAATTCTTCATTCTAAAAAAATTATTTCTTTAAAAATTGTTTTATCATAAACGTTGTGTACTTCAGCTTCCTTACAAAATTGTACAAGTGTTTTTTTTTTTTTGAATTTTAATTATAAAAAGTGTTTAACAATTTTTCAGTGGAATTTGGATCGTCATACACGTAATCACGGTGGAGGAGGAGCTTTTCAATGTCAAGTTTGTAATTTTACAGCGGATATTCGTCAGAGTTTAACTGTTCACGAGACGAATCATCATGAACCTCCTGTTGGTACTGCAAATCGAAAACCAAATCCTTTTGACAGGAAGCCAAGAAATGGTTCGAAACGATATAATCAGGTGAATAAATTACTATTTTTCTCATATGTAATTTAGAGTTGCCACAAATCAAAAAAAATGTCAAGGAATTTAAAAAAATGTAAAAAACGATGTTTATGATCAACGATTGGAAATTAATTTTTATTTAACAGAGAAAATTATAAAATAGTTTATTTAAAAAAAAACATTTTTTTTATAATTTGTGCAAAATTTTTGAAAATTTATTAAAATAATTCCAATTTTTTAAGATTAATAGATTATGTTTTTAAAAATAATTGAATTTCAAGTGATTTTGAATTGAACTTTTTTTTGGAAATTCATACTCATGAATTTTTTATATTTATTTACTATTTATTTCAACACTAATACCCACGATCCAAATGGACCATAAATGAATAACTACAGTACATAATATCATATTACACAAATTTCAAAAAATAATCAAATTTTAGAAAATAGTTGACTAAAAATTTTTTTAAATAATTAAATTTTTGAAAAATTATTAAAAATTATTGATTTGGCGAAGAAATTTTGATAAAAAATTTATACCTAAATACTTGAAATTTCAAATAGTTCCTATTAAGATTTTTAGAATTAATTGAATTTTAGATTGATTTGAAATTGCAATTTTTTGTAAATTTGATTTGCTGAAGATTTTTTTTTTTTTTTTTTGACTAATATTTAACAATAATTGTGTTTTAGAGAATTTTAAATTAAAAATTTTTGCAAATAATTGAAATTTCGAAAACAATTGAATTTTTGAAAATTAACAGGCTATATTTTTAGAACTATAATAATTGAATTTCAAGCGATTTTGAAGTGAAATTTTTTGCAAATTTATACTCCTTAATTTTTTTCATACAAATTTCAAACAATAATTAAGTTTTAGAGAAAATTTCTCATTAAATTTTTTTTTAAATATTTAAATTTTTAAAAAACTATTAAAATTATTAAAAATTATTGATTTGTCGAAGAAATTTATATGAAAATTTATACTTAAATACATAAAATTTCAAATAGTTCCTATTAAGATTATAAGTATTCATTGAATTTCAGAAGATATGAAATTGCAATTTTTTGTAAATTTTAATTGCTGAAGATTTTCTTTTTTTTTACAAATTTCTAACATTGTAATTGAGTTTTAGAGAATCTTTAATTAAAAATTTTTGCAAATAATTAAAATTACGAAGAAATTTTGTTAAAAATTTTTTTAATTAATTAAATATTCGAAATATTCAATTGAAAATTTGGTAAATATTAAAAAGTATAAAAATGTTTATAGATACAAAATTTATGTAAAAATTTAATTTCAATATTTTGATTTTTATATCTCGAAAAGCGGCAATAAAAGTTTTTAATAATAATAATGAAATTTTTAATACCTTTTTTTGACTATTTTAAACTATTTAAAATTAATGTATTAAAACCAATAATTTTAATTTTATAATTGTTTAAATAATTAAATTATTGAAGAAATAAATCGAAGTTTTTGAAAATGATTAAATTTGCAAAGAATTATAGTTAACTTAAATTTTTTTCTTTTCGATTAAATTATGTAGATTAATTTTCTCCATTGTATACTTATTACAAAGATTTATAACGTTAATTTTTTTTCAAATATAATATAATTATATAGATTTAATTGAAATAAATCAATATCAATATTTCAATCAATAGTGTTGAAATTGAAAGTTTTGACTTTCTATTTTAAAAAAATTTTCTTAACTAATATTTTCCAAAATAATTCAATTATCGAAGAGTTTATTGAAAATTATGATAATAATTAAGTTTTTTTGAAATAATAATAAATTAATTCAATATTTTTTAAAATAATTGCATTTTCGAATATATGGAATTAAAAGAATTGTAAGTTTGAAAAGTTTGAAAATAATTCAATTTTTAACAAGAATTTCATTGAAACTTTCGTAAATACCTATCTAATTGAATTTTTTAAAAAATTTAAATTGCTCTTTATACAATGTTTAACTTAATTTTCATTTATCACAATTTTTTTAAAAATAGAATTAACATTTCATACATAGGAACAAAATTCGAAAATATAGGAAAAAACAAAATATTGTCTGAAATTCAGAGAAGTATCCGAGAAAATGATAATAAAAATTTTGTAGCAATCCGATAATTTCAACTTTTTAAAATTTTTGAAAAAAATGTAAATTAGAGATTAAAACAATTTTAAAAAATGTTTAAAATTTGAAAATTTAAAAAAAATTTGAAAAATTTGAAAATTAAAAAATTAAAAAAAATTTCTATAAATTGAAATGTTAAATTTTTCTAGGTAGGAGCAAGTGATTTTCGTGAACCAACACTTCGATCAAATGAAAATACATCTCAACCGAAAACAATTTTATCGCCACCTTCAAATTCAATGGAAAGTGTACCGGGAAATGAAGAAGTAAATGATACATTAGGAGCCGAGTGTATATCATTAAAGTGCGATGAAAAAGGATGCCAATTTATCACTGCATGGGATTCGGAAATGCAAAGACATTTATCTGAGTGCCATGGCTCTGGTGTTTCCACGAACAAGCAAAAAAAACCATTACCAATGTTAATTCCCCTCAGTCCCGCTAATGTTACAAAGCCAAATAATTTATCGTCCAATGATTCATCTGCAACACTATTGAAAGTACCTCGAGTACGAGTCCGACCAGAACTTGCTCAAATTGCCAGAGATAATGAATTAGCAAAACTTCAAGCTAATAAGGTAATATAGTTTATTTATTAATTATTTATTAATGAATTCATTAATTAATTCATTTTTATTATTATTTATTCGAAAATAGTGTAATAATTTCGGGAAAATTCAAAAAATTATTTATTTACTATTTCTATTTTCATAAAATAACAGAGAGATGTAAAATTATTTTTTTAACTTCAACTCCTGGAATTACAACATTTTTAAGTAAAAATTTTCAAATTTTTAATATTTTCGAAACGAAGAAAAATATTTTCGCCATATTTTAATAGCAATTAAATTATATTTAAAAAAAATATCTGCGAAACCTCACATTTTTTCGAGTATCCAGAAAAAAGTTACAAGCTTCAAAAAATTGTGAAGCTGTTTCAAAGAAAAGTTTTTATATTTAATTATCTTTAAAAATAAAGCATATATACATTTTTCCATCCAGTATTATTTCATATCTTAAAATAAAATTTTTTTTAATAATTCCATTATTTCTAAGTAAAAAATAAAATGATCGGTAGACATAAATAAACTCTAAAAAAATTTTTTTAGAATTATGATTTGATAGAATCTTATTCTGTAGAATATTTATTTATTCGAATATTAATGTCCAAAAAATTAAAATGGTTGAATATTAATTTGCCAGAAATAATTCGGCGGAAACTTGAAATTTGACCAATCACAATTTTCTTGATAATTTCTGATTTGTCAAATTTGAAGTTTCCGCCGAATTATTTCTGGCAAATTAATATTCTATTTTAATTTTCTGGACATCAATATTCGAACAAATAAATATTCTACAGAATAAGATTCTATCAAATCGTAATTCGAAATTTTTTTTTTATATTTTATTCATGCGTCCCAAACTGATTTATATATTTCTGGTTAAAAAAAAACCAAAATTTTTCAAAATAACCACTTTCTGATGATTTTAAGTGGAGTTAGCCAATTTTTTTTTTGTATTTAGATAGCAGAAGTGAAGAGAGACTTGGGCAATAATAGTTCATTATCATTTCGTCCTATTGATTCATTTGAAAGAAAAAATGCTTCATTCTTTGATAAATTAAAGGAGAGACTTTCCTCTACAACTGTAAGCAATGTAATTCCGGAAATTGCAGTAACAACAATTAATGATCTTAAGTGCTGGTGTACTTTTGAAGCTTCAAATTTAGAGGAATTAAATCAACATAAAACAACTCATCACACTGCCCTAAGTGTTTCTTTGGGTATTTCACGATGTCCAAAATGTAGAAGAAGATGTAAAAGTTCAAGTGATTTGGAAATTCACATGCGTCAATGTCGTTCATCAGAAAATAATCAAAATCAAAATTCAACTGAAAATTTAGAAAATGATGAGACAAATTCAGAACAACGATCAAGTTCATTTCGCGGTGAATATTCATTTCCATCACAAATGGATTGGGATTCAAGTTATGGAGAAACGAGTTCATATGGGAATTCGGTATGGAAATTCATCTGTTTAAAAAAATATAGCATGGACTTTAATTTTTATAAAAAATTCCAAATTTTTACAATTTTTTTTTAAAATTGATAAAAAAAAATTAATAATATAAAACCAAGGAGTTATTTTTATTTACTAAAAAATAGTAAAAGAATGAAAAACAAAAATCTATTTAATTTGGAATTTTTTATCAAAATTTTGCTTATTTTCTGATATAAATTAACAAATATTTGTAAATATTCTTACATTCTTCAGGTATTTTAGGGAATACTTTTTAGGTCTTTCATTCAAATAATTGCTTTGCTTTGTTATTTTAATTAATATTCTTATTTTTATGTTATTTCTGTTTTTTTTGTATTATATTTTTTGTAAATAAAAGAAAAAAAATATTCGAGAAATTTTTTAAATAATTAAAATTTGTTTTCTAATAATAATATTTGAAATAGCGATTTATTAAATAATATTTGGAATTGAATATTTTTTTTTGAAATTATTGTTTATTCAATAATAGTAATATAAAGGGTGAAGAAATTGTTAAAGTAAAATGCCATTGATTTTTCAATGACGAAGAGTTCTTTCTGTAGTTTCGTAATTTAACACCAGGTTCGCTTCTTTCTCTTCATTATTCATAAGTGTTTGCAAGACGTTTCTAGCGTCTGCGGTTGCAATAAACACGGTATGGAAAGATTTGTAAATAATTTCGAATATGCAAATCAATTTTCATTAATAGTAAGTAAATAATTATTATAATTGTATAAAATTATTATTTTTCTTTTTTTGAAAAGTAAATAGTTTTTTTCAATTGTTAAAATTGATCGAACTCTGTAAATCCTTTAAATAATGAATACATAACCTCCATAAGTATAACATATATAGTTTCAAAGATTTTGAAAGAAGATTTTTTTTTTATTTAATTTAATATTTAGAACGTGGTATTTGAATATGTTTTCGATTATATATATAGTTTTTGAATAAAAAACGGAGGATTTTGTATTTTATTGTCTTTTATAATTTTTTTTTTATCAGAAGTTCATGATTTTAAGAGGAAGAAGAATAACTTGCTGTAGATAGTTATTTAAATTGATTTTACAATTCTTGAACACACTTGTAAAAAAAATTTCTATAATTGTTTAAAAAAAAACTAGATATTGTTATTTAAATTTTAACATTTTCTACTTTGTAGATAAAACTAATATTTTTTGGTTGGCGATTTTATAACCAAAGGCAATTTTATAAATTATTTTATATAAGAGTCATTTCATTGTATTTTACCAAAAATCGATGTTGATTAATTTTTAAAAATTATGATACCTTGCAGGAAACATTTTATATGCTTCTAGAATATAAAATGAAAAGAATTTTGTAAAAAAAAAATTATTATTTCTTGTAAAATATGAATTTTAAATAGAGAAGAAAATTTGAATATTTAAATTAAGAGGAAAATTTTAAAAGAATTATCACCTTTTTAACAGAAATTTTCTTTTTTAACAATAGTAAGTTAAATATTATATATTCGAATTATAACAATAAATTGAAAATTTAATACAAAGTACTTGCGATAAACTTTCAAATTTTAACTCTTTTAATTTTAACATTAAAATTTTTAAAACTTGTTTTCAAACCAACACTAAACTTTAATAAAAGTTTTATTTATTTACTAGACAATAATTCTCAAATTGTTAAATTTTTCCAAATAAGTTATTAACGTTTGAAAATTTTATAAATCAATAAATTGGCAATTTTACATTTATAAAGTTTAAACTAAAAAAAAGTGCTGAAATTTAAAAATTCATATTTTACAAAAAAATAATATAAAATATTTTTAACAAAATTCTTTTCATTTCGTTAGAATTATATAGAAAATTTTCACGATTCTGAAATCCACAATGTTTATAATTATCGATTAGAAAACCAATAATTTTTTTTTTGTATTTTTTAAGATCAATACTTAAACATCTTTGAAACGAATAAAATGTTTCATTGAGGGGCTGATAGTAAAAATGGTTTAAAATAACATTGGGAGCAAAAGTGGGATAAGTGACTTGGGAGCAAAATCGGGTTAAAATGATTCGTGTAATTTATTGATAAATTCATTATATTATCGATTAAAAAATATTAATTATAATAAAATATGCATTTTTTCCTATTGTTAATATTTTTTAATCGATAATATAATGAATTTATCAATAAATTAAACGAATCATTTTAACCCGTTTTTGCTCCCAAGTCACTTTTCCCACTTTTGCTCCCAATGTTATTTTAAACCATTTTTACTATCAGCCCCTCCATTAAAAAAAATATTTCTTTAAAAATCGTTGATTATAAACATAAAATTAAGAATCGTAATTTATCTGCAACGTATGATAATTTTTTAAAAAAATTACTTAACAAAGACTTTGATCGAAATTTAATGGAATGACTGCAAATTGTAATATAGTTTACAATTTTAAAACTTTCTAATCTAAATTAATTTTTATTAAAAAGTAGTGAGACTTCAAAATGCTTGTAGGAAATTTCAGTTCTATTCATCTGACGCCAAATAGAAACTACAAATATTATAAATATGGGAGGGTCCACGGCATTCCAACAGATCGTTGACTTTGACACATTCGATTTGGCGAACATTTTTTTTTTTTTTTTTTTTATCTTTTAGTAATCTTTTTTTCAAATTTTTTCTATCAAGCTATTTACGAGATATGAATATTTAAAATTTCAAAAATTTTAATGATTTTCTATTTTTAAATTGGTCATAACTTCCTTAAAAATATATCAATTTTTAAAGTTTTTTTTTTTAATTGTGTATTTTTACGTGAAGCTTTTGAAAATTCTATTCAAAAATTTTATGAAACAAAATTTTACTGTTTTACAAATTTGAACATTAAAAATATTAAATATTAAAAAATATTGAAAATATGCGAAATTTTCAAAAAAAAATTTTTAGACAAGTTGTAGATTATATTTATGTAATTATATTTTTTATATCCTATGAATACTTTTTGAAAATTTAACATATTTTCCCTCCCCCCCCAAAAAAAAAAACAAATTTTATGTCTTTTTTATGGTTTTCACCTTAATTTTTATAAAATTTGCGGGCATTTTTACTTACAATTTTTGAGAAAAGAAGTAGTTTTTTTGAAAATGTTTCAAAAAAAAATCGAAGGATACTAATAGTTTAAAAAAAATTTAATATTTAAATTGCAAAAAAATATAATATTTTTCGGAACTTTTGCATCGAATTTTCAAAAAGTTCATGTAAAAACACACAATTTAAAAAAATTTAGACCTCTTTCAATTTTTAATGTTCACACGATGTTATATTTTTTTATTGCATCATTTGGGTCCTAAAACATATAGGGTGGTTAAAATAACAAAATCTAAATTTTTCACCATTTTAGAATTTGGATTTTTTTTAAACAACATTTTTTTGAAAATCCATACGAAAAAATCATTAAAAAAAATTAAAAATATAATACTCAAAAATTACAATTTTTGTTGTTAGGACCCAAATAATTATTTTTCCTTCATTTTTTTTTATTACATTACTTTATTTTCATTAATTTATAAAATTATAAAGATAATATTGTTATTTTTTTCTTAAATCAAATTCAAATTTTACATATTTTATTCTTTATCATAAGTCTAAAAAAAATTTTAAACAAAAGTAAAATTTAATTTTTGTTTTACTTAAAAAGAACGATTAATTTTATAAATTTAAATAAAATATGTACAATATTTGGTTTGATTAAAATCTATAATAAGAAAAAAATTATTTGAAAAAAAACAAAATTGATACGTTTTTCTCAAATATAAAGTTAAATTTTTAGAATAAAAAATTTTTTTTGTCAAAAAACGTTTTTTCGAGTTTTTGAAAAAATTTTCGAAAAAGAAATTGCGTGGATATTTTTGAAAATCCTTGTGTCTGATTTTAGATATTGATGAAGGCAATAAGCCTATAAAATTTCAAGCTGATTCGTCAAAACGTGTTTAAGATATTTTGATAACAAGAAGCGGTGCGATATAGCTTCCTAAGCAAAATCATTAAAATTGTGAAATTTAAAAAAATTCGTATCTCATAAACAGCTTGATGAAAAAATTTTTAAAAAGAAATCATGGAACCCTTTTTGGTAGAATACTAAAAGATAAAAAAAAATGTAGCTAAATCGGAAGTGTTAAAGTCAACGACATGTTGAAATGTCGCGAACCACCCCCCATATCCTTTTAAAATTTGACTTGCTTGAATTCAACTAATTTTCTAAAAAAAAAAATTAAAAAAATTGGTGTTGGTTGAGTAGAATTGACATGTCCTTCTTCTAGTTTAAGATACTGAAGGTGCTTTTGGCAGGTCGAGAATGTTTCTGCAAATTCAAGCCGGCGCAGAGTATTCAAATGTCCTCATTGCCCATTCTGGGCTTCCACAGCAAGCAGGTTTCATGTGCACATTGTTGGTCATTTGAACCGGAAACCGTTTGAGTGCTCGCTGTGCGCCTACAGATCAAACTGGCGATGGGATATCACAAAGCATATCAAACTTAAAGCAGCAAGAGATCCAGCACACGTGAGTGCTCGGGTTCTCATGACTGATGAAACAGGTCGACGTAATTACTCCAAGTACAACAAGTATCTTACTCAGGTCAGGATATCAGTCATGAAACTTTCAATTTCATTCGTTCAGTTATTAATTGAAAAGAAAAAAAAATTTATTTCTTTATTTTTACTGTTTGTATTCCACACAATTTTTTTTTTTTTTCAAATTATTTTGATTCGACAAAATTTGAATTTTTATTTTAGGACCAATCCATTTTATTTCCGACTAAATTCGTTGCTGACTAATTTTTAAAAATTATAATATTTTGCAGAAATGATTTTGAAGTTATCAAGATCACGAAATGAAAAGAATTTTATTAAAAATTTAATTATTTATTGTAAAATATGAATTTAAAGTATATGAGGTGCTGAAAACTCAATTTTTTAGCCATTGGAAAATATGAAAAAAAATATACAATTTACTATAAAAAAAAAAATTATTGGAATTTACTAAGAATGAATACATTTATCATTATCAATTGATATGGTAATTATTTAAAAAAGTGAAATAATATATAAAATATGATTTTCAAGTCAAATAACCTAATTTTGCGATTTTTATTCGTTAATTATAAAAAAAGAGCCATTAAATTAAATAAAAACTTACTAAATATGAAGTTCTTGTGATAAAATTTTAGAATTTCTTTGCACTTTTCTTCTCTCTTCTTCATAAGTATAAAAAATTTTAAAAATAAAATAGCCACTTTGTTCATTTTCATTATTTTTGAACGTCAATAACTTTCTTGGAGAAAAATGAAAAAATATTGGATTTTCGAAAATTATTTAAATGTATAGTAAATACAGGCCTCGTATTATACGAATTTTTCGGACTTTTTCGAAAAATACTCAAAATAATAATTTTAATGAAATTCTTCACAAATTCAATTATCTTAAACTATTTTTCAATTAAAATTTTAATGAAATTTAATAATTGTTCATAATTTTAAAAAATTGAGCAAATAAAATTACCAAAAAATTTTAATGCAAAATCACTTGAAATTTAATTATTTGCAAAAATTTCAATTATTTTTAATTATTTTTATAATATTCTTCGAAAATTCAATTATCTCAAAGTATTTTTCAATTAAAAACTTTTGGAATTCAATTTTTGAATGTGATTTCTAATAAATTCTTCATCTATAGAAATCACTGAAAATTTCTCTGAATAATTATTGTCTTAAATTTAACACAATCTTTTGAAATTCAATTATTTTCAAAAATTTGAATTTAAAAGCTTCTAAAATTTAATTATTTCTAAAATTTTTTGAAATTTAATTATTTTTAATGATTTTTATAATATTCTTCAAAAATTCAACTGAAACTATTTTTCAATTACAAATTTTTCAAATTATTATACTTTTGTCTGCAATTTCTAATAAATTTTTTTTGTAACAGAAATCAGCAAAAATTTTAAATTAAAAATCACTTGAAGTTGAATTAATTTCAAAAATCTAAATTATAAATTTTTGAAAATTCAATTACTTTTAAAAAATATTTTCTAAAATTATTTGATAAATTATTTTTAGTTTTGTAAAATTTAATTATTGTCTGAAAATTAAGAAAATTTTTTTGAAATTCAATTATTTCTAAAAATTTCAACATTAACTCTTCCAAAATAATTATTTTGGATAAATTATTATTATTTAAAAATATATTTTATTTAAAAATCTGTAAAACATGATTAAGTATTGCCTGAATTTTTTTTTGACCATTAAAACTAAAAACTATGAAAAAATTTGCAATTGGAATAAATTGATTAAATCAGACTTAAAAACATTATAAAAATGGAATTTTAAGAATTTTTTTTTTTGGAAATTTGTTATATTTAAATAAAATTTTGAAAATTTGTCATACAATTAGTTTGATTCTAATATATTCGAAATAAATTTTTTTTGATAATGTTTTTATAAACTTTAAAATAAAATATTCATTAACCAATTAAATTTTGTTAAAATAAAAAAAATCGATATTTTTTGGAACATAAAACGACTTTCTTGTGTCTTAAAGTCGATCCGAGGCCTGTAAATAGTTATACTGAGATTTTCGCTGGTTGTTCCCGGAGCTATATTCGAAGATAGATCGGATTAAAATTTTCCTATTTTTAAGGCTATATTGACAAAAATATTTCAAAAATATTTTTAAATAATTATATCAATTGATAGTGATAAATTTATTCATTCTTAGTTTTTGTTTTTATGGTAAATTGTATGTTTTTTTTGCATATTTTCTAATAGCTAAAAAATTGAGTTATCAGCTCCTCATATCCTTTAAATTCATATTTTACAATAATTAGATTTTTAATAAAATTCTTTTTATTTCGTGATCTCGATAACTTCAAAATCATTCCTGCAAAGTATTATAATTTTTAAAAATTAGTCAGCAACTTTCTTTAGTCGAAATATAATGGATTGTCACTTTAATATTATTTAGTTTCGAAAAAGAACGTGTTTTATACTTGTTTGTACTGTTATTTTATTTCGGGCATGTCTGTTTGATCAATAGGCAGAGGCAGGGTAGTGAGGGTTATTTTTTTTTGAATTCTCTTACGTGCTTGTCATTGTTTTTCCAACCCATTATTTTTTTTTTTAAATCTTGCATTTTGAGTATAATCGCAATATTTAGAATTTAATTTTCCATTTTGTTTTTCAATTATATATATTGTGATTTACTCTTATTGTCGCAAGATTACCAGTTTTGCATTTTGAAAAATTGAAAATTGAATTCTAATGATTGTATTTGATATGCTGTGCAATGTAGGTGGGAGGGAACAACTTGGGAGATCAAGGAATTGAAGAATTAAACGTTGAAGAAGAAGCCGATCGTTTGGCAAATTTGATTACAAATTCAAATAAAAATTATCTTCAACCACCTGAATTAACACCAGCACCTGTTGCTGTTTTGAATACTGATGCCAATACCGAAGGAACTTCAAATGTACCCTTGAGACCTCCTCCTCCTTTAAAAGCTGCGAATCGAAATCAGGGTTTTTCTTTATTAAGAAAAAATTCAACTTCGCCAACTAATTTATCACGTTCAATTACTCCTGTTTCTTTATCTTCAGGAATGGATGAGCCAAGAAAATCCGCATGGAAATGTAAACGTTGTAATTTTAAAGATTCTGATAGATCTGTTGTCTTGCAACATGTAAAAATGCAACATTCACATTCTTCTGATAGTTCAAACAATGATAAGGTACTTTCTTCCTTTTCTTCATTTTTCAATAATATTTCTGAATTTTTAATTTAATTGTTTGTTTTTAAGAATCCTTTTGGTTGCGGAGATTGTCCATTTTCAGCACCGGATTCAGCAACATTAGCTGTACATCGAATGCATCATCGTCCTAATTTGGATGCTATTTTTAAATGTTATTTTTGTCCTTATTACGTCACAACAAAGGCGTAAGTATACATTTGCATTTGAATATACATTTATCCACGGTTGCCACAGACCTAAAAAACCTGGTATTTTTTCCTTTTTTTTTTAGTCATTGGAAAATCTGAAAATGTCAGGAAATTTTATTAAATTTCGTTTTGGAAAGTTTATTTCCTGTATTTTATTAGCAAAATTCTCAAATTTCCAAGGCAATCTAAACAAAATTTTATTTTTTGCAAAAATTATTTTTTTCTTGTATTATTTAGAGTCTAAAATTTTTATAATATTATTAAAAATTAAAAAAAAATTCATCCAAATTTTGGAAATTTTATTTTTTGCAAAAATTGAAATTTTTTAAAACCCATACGATTGATTGTTGAAAATCATGAAAAGAAAGTAGAAAAAAATTCGGCTAAGAAAAAAAAATAAAAATTGTGAAAGAAGTTAAATTTTTAAAGAATCATCAGTAAAATTTAAACCAATCAAAAATTTATAATCCATACGTTTAATTGTTTAAAATCATGAAAAATATAAAATAATGTAAAAAAAATATTTTTAAAAATTGGCAATGAAAACTAAGAAAAATTGTCAGAGAAGTTCAAATTTTTAATTTTCGACAATTTTTAGTCTTACTTGAAAAAATATTAACAAGTTGATTGTTTACTAATTTTTCATATTATTTATTATAATTTTAAATACTTAGAGAAAACATTAATTTCGATAGATTTAAATTTCACTGGCCCCTATCCTTAAATTACTTGAGTTATTAATTTTTGAAAATTAATGTTTACATGAAAAGTGTATTTTTGATACGTGTTTTTCTTCATTATAATGAAAAAATTGAAAATAATTTACAACATGACATTTGTTGGAATTTTTAAAAAATTTTCAAATATGCAAAAAAAAATAATATTTCTTGGAAATATCTAAAAAAATTAAAATTATTAATAAATAGAAACATTGTTTTTTTTCAAAGAGAGACACCATCGATTTTCTAATATTTTTGTTCAACGTAATCTCTGGTAAATAAGGAATTTTTTCCCCGTTTATCAGAAAGTGGAGTTTTTATCGTCTAAATAGTATTTACGATTTTTCGTTCATGATACAGAGTTTATGGTTTAGAGTTTTTTTTTCTTTTTTTATAAATGTGATGATAATTTCACAACAATAGTCATTTGTTTTTTTTTTATCGAACTTGAGTGTTTTTATTTTCGACAGAATTGTAAAGTTACATTGCGACGCCTCCCGTTCATAAAATGCTAACATAAATGTTAAAGCAAGATAATACTAATTAAAAAATAAGTGCAATATAAAAATAACAAAAAAAAAATTGTACAAGGTAATTCTTTTTCAATATTCAGTTGCAAGACAATTTTAATTGAAATTTGCGTGTAATATAATAACACGCGTAGTTGTGTACAATATAATTCTATTGAAAATGTTAATGCAAGATTATTCTAACTTCTGACGTATAACGTAAAAAAATGTTCACTTAACCTCAAAATAAAAAAAAAACTTTAAAAATAATATATAAACTTATAATTTCTGCTATTAGCGGTTCTGTGCACAGTGATGAAATTTTTGTGTTCAATATTAAAATTTTAAACGCATTTATGATAAGATTTCTTTAATAATAAATTATTGAATTCATTTACATGAATTTTTTAAAATATTAAATATTATTCTCCACTAGAAGGCAATATGTTTCGTAAAAAAAAAAAATGTTTTCGGTTATTGCTTTTAATTGAATTTTTAATTTAAAAATTCATTAATTTTTTTTTATAAATCTAATTAGTTTTGCTATAATGTTGCACATATTTTTTTTTTATTAATTATTTGAAAATGCATTTTAAATATATTAGGTATATTCTCTCTAATTTTGAATTAGTGAAATGTGAGCTACTAATTCACATTAGTAAGAATTTTTACTAATTTTAAGTAAAATATTACAATTTAATTTGGTAGTTTTAACTTTTTTTTACTAAAGTTTTATTAAAAAGTGACTAAAAATTTGTGAAATTTTTTACTAATTTAAATTAATAGCTCACTTTTTACTAATTCAAATTTAGAGAGTTAATTTAATTTTTTATTTATAAACGAAATTATTAAAATAAAAAACAATAATAAATGTATTTTGAGGTTCAGTGAGCATTATTTAACTTTGTTTTTGAATTTCAAAATTCCAACAAATTTTATGTAGGATTTTCAATTTTTTCAATATAATAAAGAAAAACACGTATCAAAAGTACACTGTTTATGTAAACATTAATTTTCAAAAATTAGTAACTCAAGTAATTTAAATTAATTTACAAACAAAAAAATATTTCTACATTTTTTTCAATGTAGAATTAAAAAAAATAGTTGCAATAAAATCTAAATTTTGAATGTAAATAATCCAAAAAATGACCCATAAATTAAATTATGATAATTATATAATTATTAATTATTATATTATAATAATATAATTTATGGGTCATTCCTTGGATTAAAAATAGTAAATAATAATTTTATATTTTATTAAAATAATCCAAGGTCATTGCTTGGATTATTTTCATTCAAAATTTAGATTTCATTGCAACAATTAACCAAATTTGTTAATTTTATTGAAATATTTTTTATTTTTTGTCGTAACTGGCTAAAAATTTACCACGATAATTTTTTATTTGAGTTTGGAATTTTTTGGAAAACCTGGAAATTTTTTAATTAATGTTCATGGAATTTTGAAATTAGTGTTTTGTGGCAACTCTGAATTATATTTAGTTTTTTTATATCGTTACAAATAAAAATGAATTCATAATTTAGAGAACTTTTGGAGCATTCAAGACTTCATGGAGAAGATTTGGCGAATGTACATCAGAATAATATGGAATCGGAATCGTATTCAGTTAATGCAAAAAAACAGTTACAGCAAAATCTAGACAATGGTAAATAAATGAATTTTCATTTTAATTAAATAACTAGCTCGCTCGATTCAAGTTGTAGTTTATTCATATATTTATTTAATTTATGTTTTAAATTAATATTTCATTAGTATTTTATAAAAATGATCTTGATTTTGATAATATTTATTGAAGAATAAAATGACAATTGTTATCAAATAATAATTCATAAAAATATGAAATAAAATTATCGCTTCTAATGAATAAACACAATGGACTTTGAAAAAATGTAAATTGTAATTTTTGTTTGTATTTCTAAATTAAGTAAACAATAATTTCAGATTAACAATTGTGAATTAACAGGAAGATTGACGTTTTATTAATTAATTAGAATCTAAATATTTTCTCACTATTAAATATTTTTGGTTTTACATGATATTAGCGGAAAAAAATAAAAAATTGTAAAAATATGCAAAAAAATTACGGTGCTGAAGTACGCAACGTTTATGATCAACGATTAGAAATCAATTTTTATTTAACACGAAAAATTAGAAAATTGTTTACTTAAAAAAATATATTTTTTTATAATTTGTTGATTAATAAAATAAAAATTAATAACTACGTACTGCGTACTTCAGCATCGTAAACATTTTTTTTGTGAATTTAAAATTTGAATAATTTTTCATCTAATTTAACTTCATTCTTCTTTTTTTCCATTCCTTCAGCAAGCAGAAGCTCTAAGGATGATTCATTTCAAGAACGGAGCTTATTGTCGCCAACAACATCGACAGCGTCAGGTGCAAGTCTTTATAAAAATCCCGAAGTGCCTTCTCTTCTTCTTGATACTCGTGAACTTCCAGATGCGCCATTAGTTTGGGTCTCACGTCCAGATGGTGTAATTGCAAAAATGTTAAAATGCCGCCATTGTCCATATGTTTCACAACGTCGAGCCGAAGTTCTCGATCATGAAACAATGCACGCAAATTCCGCCCTACCGGGACCATTTATTGAATGTCCACAATGTAGTTTCTCATGTTCTCGAACTGATATTATGGAAAGTCATTCGGATATGCATAAAGGTTCTCTGGGAACGGTTCATTGTCTTGTTGATGATTCACGTCCTGATTCGCAGCAGCTTAATGATTTGGCGACTCTTCTTGGTTTATCGAAACCGCCGGATATGGGTGCTGAGCCAGATTTAGATGATTCTCGACTTGTGCATTGTTGTAGTAAATGTCCAGCTCGATTTCTTTGCGAAAAGGAACTTAGAATTCATTTTCGATATCATTCCACGGAATTGGCCTACAATTGTCAATGGTGTTCCTATGCAGCGAGGCAACCGGCACATTTATTATCTCATCAAAAAGCACACGCTCCAGAATATCAGGAGCGAACTCGATATTTATTGTCGATTTATGGACATTCACAGAGGCATCCACCACCAACGACTGCTTGCATAGAAGCTGGGGGTCAAGAATCAGCGGATGGCAATTCACCACGTGTCGCTTGGATTGTTGTCGAAGTACCGGCAACATCTGAGCAGAATTTTGGAAATAATGTCATAAATAATGGTCCTCGGCCAGCAAATCAGGTATTTATTTATTTATTTATTTAATTCAGGGTGTCCGGCGGACATTGAAATCCATGAAAAGTCCTTGAATTTTTTTTGAATCTTGAAAAACCTTGAAATTCCTTGAATTTTATAACAAAACCTTGAATTATTAAAATTTTCCCAAAAGGATATTTATTTCATAAAATAGTTTGTTACACTGACAATCGAATTCTTAATATAAAATTAAAAAATCTGGTTTAATGATGCAAAAAAATTTTATTCATTAAAAATTTTTTTTTGAAAAATCCTAACATTAATTTGTTTTTAGAAACAGAACAAAGATCTCGATTTTTTATCATAAATTCCAATTTTTTTAAAACTCGAAGATTATTTTGATTTTTATTTCAATTTCTTTTTTTGTAATACTTTTTATTTTCTTAAATTATTATTAAAAATTTTCGTTTTTAAAATGATTTTTACATCAAATTTTTATTTTTTTTTTGCAATTTATAAAATTTATATATTTATTATTTTAATTTTGCAAATTACAAACTAGTCAGAAATTATCAATTTTCTCCTTTTATTATCAAAATTTATAAAATTCTCGATTTTCCCTTTTTCCACACTATAGATACTTCTTTAAATTTAATTTATCTTCATTTTTCTAAAATTCTCTCAAATGATTCTTCAAATTCTCTTTATTGGAATTCTTAAAATGATCATTCTTTCTTTCAATTTTTTCGAATTTTCATTTATTTTTAATTTGCTTTCTTTTTTCTAAAATTCTCGTTTTTTAAAACATTTTTTCGAATATTTATTCTTATTTTTTAAAAAATTCTAAAATTTATTTATTTAGGTATTACAAAATGGCCCAAAATTCTCAATTTTCCTGACAAATAATAATGCTTACATTTTGTCAATTTCTAAAATTTTTGATTTTTTTTCAAAGTTTTTTTTTATATTTATTGCCTCAAATTTTCTATTTTTATTAAATTGTCGTGTTTTTTTTCCATGTTTCCCTCAATTTGTTCGTGTTTAATTTTTTCCTTCAAATTCTCCTTTTATTTTATAAATTCTTAAAATTTATTTATCAAATAATTTTTTAAACTGTTAAATGTTTTTATTTCTACTTATTCATCTTATATTTATTGAGAAAAACTGAAAAACAAAGCTTACTTTATTATAAATAAAAAATATGTTCATAGTTTTTACGTCGAAAGTGGACCTTGAAAAAAAAAATTATTTTAGACCTTGAATTTTTTTTTTAAATTGTTGGACATCTTGTTATTTATTTACACTTGCTTACAAGTTATGCAAAATATAATTTCTTTTTTAAATGAGTGAAGAATAATAAAGTAATAAAGATAAAATTAAAAATATTGAGCCAAACGAATAAACAAAATCTTAGTAAAATTGTTAAGAAAATGTTTAATTAAAATTGGATTTTTTTAATAACAAAATATTCAGCCATTTATCAAACATTAAAATTTCTGATTGGTTAAAAATAATATTTATTATTATTTATTCAAACATTTTAAAATGTTTTATTTAAAATCAAACATTTTATTTAGAACGTAAACAATTAAATTATCATTGATAAAATAAATTATTAATGGTATATTTTTCAAAATCACTGTGTTCTATTAGTTTTAAAATATCAAAAGTAATAAGTCCAATTTTTTTTAAATTTAATTATTTTCTGATTTCAATTATATTAATTAAAAGATTTTTTTCTGTTATGGAGAGTAATTATCGATTATTTTATTTATTATTTATTAAAAAAAATAAAAAATAAAAAAAAATAATTTTCCAAACATAAATAAATTCTTCTTCTTCAAAAAAAAATTGTATTTAGCTTCGATTAAAAATCAAAAATTTGATGATGCCAATTTGATGAAAACATAAAAAAATGAATGCAAATAAATTTGTTAACGAAATCTTTCGATTATTATACAGTATTATTTATTTGAAATCGATTAAACTTTTTTCTTACTATTATTAATTTGACCAATGAAATTTCATTCTATTGAAATTTACCTTATTTTTTGCATATTTTTAAGGATTTTAAATTATGCTGAAAAAAACTGAATTTTAATAATTAAAAGATGAAAAGAAAAAAGAATTTTTGTACTTTTCTTATTAATTTTAAAATAGTGATTGATAATAAATAATTTTTCACTTTCAGGTATACACATGTGCCAAGTGTCCTGCTCGTTATTTCAAACTTGATGCCTTGGAATATCATATGACACTTCATGGCTCTAATAATCGATTTAAATGCTCTGAATGTGATTATTCATCAAAAACAGCCCAAAATCTTGTCAAACATCAAGTGGTACATCGTCGTCATACGGAGGCAACAAATGCAAATGCCACAGTACGAATTCCCCCTCCCGATCCTCAATTTGGTACATTTATGCGTGGAAATCCAAATTTTGTTTATCCCGGATATTTACGTAACGGTAGACTAAAGGAGAAACGTTACAAGTGCCATAAATGTCCTTCTGCATTTGAAAAACGTGATCAATATCGTGTGCATTTAGGTTTACATGGTGCAAAGCAACGTTATTGTTGCGGTTCCTGTGACTATTCAGTGAAATATTATGCCAATTATGTTCAACATCTCAAGAAACATGAAGCGAATGCTCTCGCTCAGGCCGAGAGACGTCAAGGTGACGTTGAGACAATTCCGATTGAAAATGAAATTGATGAGGGAATATTTAGTGGCCGATGTGGAAAATCATTAAAAAAAACAAGTCTCGTGCAATCTCAAATTAATCCCCTTCAAACCTCAAATCAAGACAAACAATCTGTGATGTTAATGCAGAGGAGGGAAATGCAAGCTTTAATTGAATCTGAACCAAAATTTCGCTGTCAATCGTGTCCCTTTTTTTCAAACGACAAAGATATTATGGATGCGCATAAAAGGCGTCATGGAATTGATAGAATGACACCTTCATGTCCTTACTGTGATTATGTTCCAAAGAAGGAGGAAAATATTGCTGAGCATAATAAATTGCATTTCACAAGAATGTTCAAACCAGAGTCTTATCTTGTTGTTGAACTTGTATCGCTTTCCATGGAGAAAATAAATGAAAGCAATAAAAAAAGTAACGTAGAAAAAGAAATGATATTTCAAGAATGCGCAGACGGAAAATATCTTCCGTCGTTAGAATCTTCTGCTTGTTTAAATTCTCCAAATCCAACTGGAACTCAAGAAAAAATGATTATTGATCCACAAACGGGAGAGGTAAAACCTCAACGCAACGTGTAAAATTACTTTTGTAAATATAATTGTTAGTGGCTAGATACTTTGTTTTCAAGTCAGTATTATAAATATTGAAAAATTTTTATTTTCTAGTTACCTCGACATTTCAAAAAGGCAATTTTTTTTTAAAATTAAGATGAAATTTTATGGATTTTTTTTTTGTTGATAAAATTATTGTTTTTAATTTGATTCTTAATGATATATTTATAATGAGTAATTTTCAATTAATGACAGGAAGACAGGTTTAATTTTGATAATAAAATTATTTCAATAAAATAATTATATGACTTTATTACTACGCTTCGTTCGATGTAAGAAGAAATTAAAATTCCTCTTATTTTAAATTGTAAAAAAAATATGAGGAAACATAATTGTAATAATAATAATAATAATAATATCTGTCTCACTTTCACAAAAGACGGAAAAATTTTCAAATTGATTACAATGAGCGTAAATATATATATATATATATTAAATGTAAAAACAGATTAATGTATTCTGCGACAACAATTCTTAGATATATAAAAAATTATCAACTTTGCACGGTAGACAGCATTTATGAGATTCAAATTTTGTACAAATTAACACAAAATAAATCAAAACGTAAGCCATTACTGTACATAAATAAAAACTAAAAATACAATAATAACGGTTTTACTTCTATTTCTTTTTTTTTAAAAATACTATAAAAAAATAATAATAATAATAATAATAATAATTACTAAAAGATTCACGAAAGCGTTTCACGCATAGATATGTTTATGGCGATTTTGTCTTTTCTTTTCTTTTTTTTTTTTATATAATATATACAATTTATTTGCCATGAACTTTTTGGAAGGCAATTAATTTTCACTGGAGATTCATTGAATTGATTGAACTGTACAATCAATTTTTAATAGATCGATTCCTTCCACTTCGATGTTCTCTTCGGGAATGTTGTAACGAATAATTTGATGCTATCTATTTGGTCTTTGATCCTCAACTACTGCTATTAACCTTTGTCGCGTTTTTTTGTTGTTTTGACAAGTACAAGAAACAAGTCCCTTCAATTGTTTTGTTGAGTATTCCTAGTAAATAAATATATTTCAATATTATTCATAGAAAAAAAAACAAAAATAATGTGAAAAATGTCCTCAATATTTTTCAAAAATAATCGTGAATTTTTTTTCAATTTTTTAAACCGTAAAAAATTGTTGTAAATAATTATATCGAACCAAATTTTTGCTAAAATTCAGCACAATTTGAGTTTTTAATTTGTATTTTTTAAAATCAGTCCCTACATTTATTTCGTAATTATTAATCAAATTTCGACTTGAGAAAATAAATTAAAGTCACAGTAGATTACAAGTCTAGCATTAGTGCAGATTAAAAAACAATTTTAATTATATTTAAAACTAATTCATTAACAATAAAATTGATTTGAAACAATTAAATAAAATTAAAATTCCTTACGAACAAATCAATTCAATTATTTTGTAATTTAATTTTTTTTAATATTAAATTTTGTAAAATCCATTCTTTTTGTACATTTAAAATTTTTCCGTGAAATTCAATTATATTACATATTTGAGATTTTTTTTTGTACATTTAAGATTTCAATTATTTACTTTTTTTTAATGTTGTGCATAAAAAAATGTTTAAAAAAATTTTTTTTAACCATTATCTATATTAAAAACAAAAATTTGGTGAATAAAAATTTCAATTTTTCTGATATTAAAAAATTTTCGCGACAACAAATTTTATTAAATTTAATTAATTTTAGTAATCAGTCAAAATTTGGACAAATTTAAATTCGTATAATATAAAACTAAAATGAATTAAAATTTACATAAATTAAAATTCAAATAATTTAAAACTTTTATCAATTAAAGTTTTGATAAATTGAAATTGAAATCATTTGAAACTTACATGGATTAAAAATTTAGGTAAATTAAAATTCGGATAATTTTGAAACTGAAATGAATTAAAATTTGCATAAATTGAAATATGAATTATTTTAAATTTAAATCAATTAAATTTTGGATAATTTGAAATTTATATCAATTAAAATTTGAACAAATTGAAATTCGGACAATTGGAGACATAAATTAATTAAAATTCGGATAATTTAAAACTGAAATCAATTAAAATTTAAACAAATTGAAATTCAGATAATTTGATACATAAATCAATTAAAATTTGGAAAAATTGAATTTTAGATAATTTGAAACTTAAATTAATTAATTTTTAGATAGATTAAAATTTCATTAATTTGAAGTTTCGATAAATTGAATTTGCATTTGATTGAAATAGTTAAAAAGTAATTTTTTTTAAATATAAAAAAAAAATTTAGTTAAAATGAAAATAATTCTTACTTTATGTTCTTTTATCCATTCTTCCAATTTGTCTTCTGTTAAATAAAAGGCTTTAATATATAATTCAACGTATTCTTTGTGCGGCATTGGTCTCAAAGTAGTAAAGCTCTCAAACTTTGATGTTAATTGAGTAAAATCAAGTTGCATCAATCCTCTTCCTCCATTAGAACATTTTTTAGCATTCGAAAATCTGTAAAAGGCAAAACATATAAAATACAAAAACAGAGTGTTTAGCATTTTTTGAAGAAAACAAATTAAAGGATTTTTCAACGTTTTTTAAGGTACAAAATAATTTTTTTCAAAGACCACTTTTGACGTAGAAACATTACTCTGATTTATACTAAGCATTTACCTGACTTTACTTTAATTATTAATAAAAAATTGATTATTATTAAAAGTTTTATATATTTAAATTCGCTAAAAACAAATTAGTTTGCATTTAACAGATTATTTATTTATTGACAATTATGGTCCAGTTTGTAATACTAAATAAATAAATTTTTGTATTTTCAAAAAATAAAAATAAATATGGGGAAAAAATGTTTTGAAAAACCAGAATTTTTTAAAAATGAAAGCAAATTAAAAATTTTAAAAAAATAAAAAGTCGAAAAAATTGAAAGGAAAATATAGATAATTATTAGGAATTCCAATTAAGAGAATTTGAAGAATAATTTTATTGTTTGCGAGAAAATTGAGAATTTCTGATTAGATTGTAAAAATAAATAAATACATAAATTTTATTAATTGCAAAATAAATATGAAAATTCGAGGGAAAAATCGCTTTAAAAACGAAAATTAGAATTTATGGTAAAAAATCAAGTTCGGTTTGTAAAACCAGATTTGTTAATTCTATATTAACAATCCGATTGTTAGTATTGTAACCGTTTGTATTAAACTTTTAATAATTCAAAAAATAAATATTTTTTGAGGAAATTTTAATTATTCAAGGAATTTTAAGATTTTTCCAGGTTCAAAAAAAAAAAAATTATGAGCTTTTCAAAGATTTAAAGGTCCCCTGGATATTCTGAGAAACAAATTTTTAGATCAATTAATAATGAGGTTATAAATTTCTGAAACTTACCCTTCTACTAAGGTTCGAGTGACCAAATGGGACACATTTTCCCATATTGCAATGTACACTTCTCTAGGCAAAGGCACACGATTTCCAATATCATTAAGTCTCACACGTAATACTTCCATTTCCTACAGGATAAAAATAAATCAATAATTTTTCAATTTAATAAACTCTAATTCAATAGAGTGTAAAAAAAAAATGAGATTCTACGGATCAAAATATTTGTATACATTATATTATATTATGAATATTAATTTCTTGTGCATATTAAACAAAAGTCTGTGTTTTTAAAATTTTTAATACAATTTAATAGTCAACAATAAAATACATACCTTTAAAATTTTATCAACATAACTACTGTGTTGAGACATCACATCTCTCACTTCCCAATTCACTTTTGTCATGAGATTCAAAACTCCGGTAATATCAAGAGCTTGTGACACTACAGCCATATAAACCGGTTTTCGTAAATCCGTTACTGAAGTTATCGTATTATCATAAAATTGATGAAGATAATTTTTCTCCGGACTATTCGATATTAAATGTTCAAAATAATGTCTAAAACTCCCATACTGATCACCTAAAAATATTAAAGATTCTACAGCTACAGCTCGTTCAGTCAATCCATGAAGTCTTTCGGGTTGCGTGAGATTCACAATAGGAGACAATTGTGGTTGTTGAACCTTGTGATATCGACTCGTTGGATTTTCGATATCAATTTCATTAAATATAAGATTTTCTTTCATTCGAATTAAAGCAAGTTTCAATTTTTGACTGTACAAAGAATCACTTGTTATTGCAAGATCAGAAGTAAAAAACGAATGAACTGTATAGAAATAAAGATCAAAAAATTGAATCATGCTTTGAATTACAGTTTCGGCAATTGATTTTAATAGTCTTATCATTTGCAAATATCGTCCACAGACTCTTAGAACACTCAAGGTTGTATTAGTAACAATTGGTCCAGTATGTTTTGCTTTGTGCTTCTTTTTTATCACTTTTCCATGTTCAGACTCTTCAACATAATCGTGACGAATTTCCTCAGACATATCATCTTCTGAATCATCAGAAAAATATCCTGATAATTCATCCTATAAAAGAGGCAATTTTTTTTTTTTATAAACGATATCCATTGAAATTTCAGAATTGATTTTTTCATGGTTTAAAAAAAAAACAAATTTTAAAATTAAAATTTACAGAGTTGCCGCAAAAATTTTATTTTGTTTTTCCCTGATTTTCAGTTAGAATTTTAATTTTTTCCCTGACCCTTAATAAAAATATTATAATAATAATTATAATAATTATATATTATAATAATAATTTAATAAAAATAATAATTAATTTTTTGACTACAAATTTTTCATCATTGTAAAATTATTTAGCACAATTTTAGCTTCTTCAAGTTATTCTGAATGGAAAATTTATTACGTCGCTAAAGTTTACGTTTATGATCAACGATTTAGAAGAAAAATATTTTCCTATGCAAATTATTATAATTTTTTGTCTAAACAAATTTTTATAACATTTTTCAATCAACAATTTTTAAAAGAAAATAATTTGAAGATAAAAAAAATTTATTATTTTCCGGATGAAAATGATTTTTTTTCAATCGTCGATCATAAACGTTGGGATTTCACCGACGTAATTTTATTTCAAATAAATTTTGAAAAATATTGATAATTAACAAAAAAATGTTATTAGAATACTACAAAACAAACTTCTAACATCAAAGTAGGTCAAAAATTTAGTCAAATTATTTAAAAAAAAAAAAAGTAAATTGATGGTTTTTTCCAGGTATTTATATTTTTGTTTAAACATTGAAAAAAAAAACTTACCCCGGTATTTGCTAAAATATCTTCATCCATTGTCTCGTCTAAACCAACATCAAAAGGTGATGTTCCTCCATCTAAACATCTTTGTAACCATCCATTAGAGAGGCAATTTTCATTTTCAGACAAACTTGAACTTTCGGAGGCATTCCAATTTTTAAGGCTGTTAAAAATAGGTTTTAAACTTTTAAACTCCTGAAGTTGCATCGCCGCGAAAGTTGTTTTTACAGGACAAAGCTCCCATCCATCGTTCTCCAAAAATATCCTTAACTCATCTAATCTTAAGGCATGATAGTTTAAAAAATAAGACAAACACTGTTTTCTAATACATTCTTGCAAATTCTCCGATCTGCTTGCACATAATTCTTCTCCAATTTTCATCATTCTAAAATTTAAAAAAAAAAAATTATAATTTTTAAATTTTTGTAAAAACAAAATTTACAAATTATTTTCTTACCTATTAATAATTCCTAAGACCTGAACAAATTGTTCAAATTTAAAATTTGACAAATCCGTTCCCATAAAAGTCGATATTTTTGTTTCGACATCATGCCAAATTCTAACAACTCCATTTTCTAATTTTTGTTTGATGTACTGTCGATTAAAATTAGATTCAATGTCTTTATTATTTATTGATTCTTGAGTTGCATGATTTTCATTTGAATCATGCCATCTGACAATAAGAAAATAAGAGCTGAGAATTGCCCACATTGATTTACATAGTTCCGTTAAACAGGGAATAAAATTTTCATGACTTATTGAACGACATAATTGTTTATATTGTTTTTTTAAATCGCCACCAGCAAAAGAATAAACAGCAGTAAAAGCGGTATTATGAATTGCTGCCGTAAAATGCATATGAAGTTGATCCATTGCCGTTTGGGATTTTCCTAATAAATTATAAGCTTCCTGAACAGAAGAATATATTGTCACGTCAAATTGTGTGCATAATTTTGCAAGAGTAACATCTAATGTTTCTTCAACTTGTTCCAAGGTGTCTTGAAGTTTTCTATTTAAAGCAGCAACACAATGAAAATGTTTAAAAGTTTGAGCTGCACTTTGACATTCTAAAAGTAATGAAATTGCTCCTGGATAATTTTCTTCATTCAAAAGTTCTTGCAGACGATCCTCGGTTCGTTGCTAAAGAAAAAATATTAATTTAACAAAAACATTTTTTAAAATTTACTTTAAATAATTAATGTTATAATTATTAAATTGATGATATTAAATTCATTTTATTAATTTCTTAATAAGAATAATTCTACAAAAATATTATCAAGAAAATTTATTTCGAATATTTCAGAATCAAACTAAGACAAATTTCTAAAAAAAATTCTTAAAGTTCTAATTTTTAATTTTTTTGAAGTCTGATTTAAACAATTTATTTGAATTTAAAATTTTGGCATACTTTTAAGTTCTAATGATTAAAAAAATATCGAACGATAATTATTAAATTAAATTTTTTTTTAATAATTAAATTGCAAATTTTCTGCGAATTTCAACTGTTATAGTTTTTCTTTTAAAATTTCTGATAACAATTTAATTTTAGAGGTTTTTTTTGAAACATTTTTAAATAATTGAATTTGTAAGAAATATTAAAAGTATTAAAAATAATTAAATTTTGAAAGAGTTATAGTTGAAAATTTTAGAAATAATTGAATTTTAAAAGATTTTGTTAAATTTCAGACAATAATTAAATTTTACAGAATTGTAAATAATTTATCAAATAATTTTAGATAACCTTTTTTTAAAAAATAATTACATTTTTCAAGATTTGCAATTCAGATTTTTGAAAATAATTTAAATTCAAGTGATTTTTAATTGAAATTTTGGTAGGGAGTCAAAAGTGTCAATGCAAAATTTCCAAAATTTTTAATTTTTCAATGGACGTTTTTGCCACAAATTATTTTTTCCAAAAAAAAAGTGGAAATTTTGAAAGTCAACTTTCATACTTAATGCAAATTCATTTATTATTTTTAAGTTTTGGATATTTTTCTTGGAAATTTTGGATTGGTACTTTTTTTTTGGCACTTTTGTACTCCAATCGAAATCTTTGGTAATTTCTGTTGATGAAGAATTTTTTAGAAATTAGAAACAATAATTGAACTTTAAAAATTTTTAATTAAAAAATGTTTTCAAAAAATTTAATTTTTAAGAAAATTTTAAAATTATTAAAAATAATTAAATTTCGAAAGAGTTATAGATGAAATTTTTAAAAATAATTAAATTTCAAAAGATTTTGTTTAATTTCCGAGAATAATTAAAATTTAAAGAATTGAAAATAATTTGAATTATTTTTAAATAACATTTTTTTAAAAAAATAATTCAATTTACAAAGATTTAAAATTCATATTTTTGAAAATAATTGAAGTGATTTTTAATTGATATTTTTGGCGATTTCTGTTGAGGAAAAATTTGTTAGAAATTACAGACAAAAATTAAAATTTAAAAGTTTTTAATTGAAAAATTTTTTCAGATAATTGAATTTTCGATGAATATTATAAAAATCACTGAAAATAATTGAATTTCAAAATTTTGTAGTTGAAATTATTAAATTTCAGAAAGTTTCACAAGCAAAATTTAAAAAATAATTAAATTTTCGAAGGCTTTAAATTGTAATTTTTTAAAATAATTAAATTTCAAGTGATTTTGAATTAAATTTAAAAAAAAATTTAAACAATTATTAAATTTCATAAAATTGAAAATTGAAAAATAGTTTAATCTAATTGAATTTGTGAAAAATTTTATTAAAATTATTGAAAATAATTTATTTAAAGAAGAATTTTAGTTAAAAATTTGTTAAATAAATTGAAATAAATAAGATTTGAAGAATATCTGCATTGTATACTAAAAAAAAAGTATTTCGTTTAAAAATTTCGTAAAAAATTCGTATAATCCTATGCCTGCACAAACTATTTATTAAAAAAAATATATATATATATATAAAATGAATAAACTCACAAGAGTCTTGATAGTATTCAAACTACTAAGTAAATCTTCAATAATCTGCCTCTTTCGATAGTGAGCGAGAATTCCTAAACTGGCCGTCGTAAATTGTTTTCTCGCCAAATTTAAATCTGCCCTTCCAACTCTACAAATTACAAGAGTATCTTGAAGTTGCTCCTGTACCAATAAGATTCTTTCAAATTCTTCTTTACAATTATTTTGCTTTTGAAGAATTAGTTGGAGAACTTTTTTCGAAACAACTTGTTGCTGTTGTTTTAAATTTTTATAATAGCGTTCAATATCTTTTGAATTTAATACTTTTGGTAGTTTTTCAAGTTCATATCTACAAGGATCAAAATCAGTGTCAACTTCATAATAAATTTGTTCAATTGATTCTAAAATTTCTTGATCTGGAACTGCTTCACTTTCAGTAGATTGACCTGCTTCGGAATAACGATCATCAGAATTTTGTGATTCATTTGCATTTAAAGGATTCAATAGATCTGGATGAAGTCCCATTGATGGTATTTTAGGTTGATTCTTAAAAAAAGAAAATTAAGTTTTCAAAACGAAAACATAAATTTTGTTGCTAAAAGCAATCATAAATACATATTATTGCGTCACGACAATTACAAATTCAATTGCAAAAGAGATCTCGAATTCCAATGTGACTACGACGCATTACTACAAATATAAGCATAAAAAAATAATTGACAGTTCACGTGTTTAAGTGTAAAACATAAAATTAAATAAATAAAATAATATATATATATAGCAAAAATGTAAATGAATAAATAAAACTAACCTGTTTATTGAGGAGTCCTAAAAATTTGAATTTTAGGTCCTCCATCATAATAGAATTTTTAACTGATAAGGTGAGCTTTTTTTTATCCATCTGCTTCGTTATTGAACACTTTCTAGTTATAAACCAATACCGCACTGTTAATGAGGTTAAACTGAATTGTGAGTAATTTCATCAGCTGTCATCACAAAGCTGTCATGTTCCATATCGTTCTTATCCAATTATTATTTGATAATTGTCCTATATAATTTTCACAATTTCGCTAACTTTTAAATTTCGAAACTTTTAATTGTTTTTTTGATTTTAAAAATACATTAATGGAAAAATCTGAAAAGCAATTAGTTAACACTTGTCATTTTCATGAAGTTAGCACTGGTTGGCATATTGTGATTGTCCGCCAACATAGGCGCAACGATCTAGAATATATTATTGCAATTACAACCCCTATTTTTTCGAGTTCAAAGAATTGAGATTAAGCTTTTTTCACATTTTATGCAGGAAACAACAGGGGTTTGCTTTAAGGTGCTTTTATACCTCAAATTTCGATCAGATGAACATAATTTCTGGACCGTGAAAATGCGTGAAAATTCATTTTCACGGCGGGTATTTTTGAATTGATTTAAATAAAAAATGTTTTTTTTAAGAAATATAATGTTAAACAATTGTTTTAATATGTAAGAACACTTTCAAATAGTAATAGAAAAATGATTTGATTGAAAAATTTAGCAAATTTTGCTTTAAAACGTTTCTGTTACAAGAAAGTGTAAAATGACGATGTTTGTGAAATGGTTTGTACAGTGTACATGTTTCTTTCAGTTATTCGAAACAATTAGTAGAATTTAAATTTATTTGATAAACATTTCAACTTACCGATTTATTTTCAGCACTCATTATTTATTACAAGATAAAAAGAACCGATAAAACATAAACAAAACTCTGAGAGACACTCACAAGGAAGAAGCACTGTACAAACCATTTCACAAACATCGTCATTTTACACTTTCTTGTAGCAGAAAACGTTTTAAAGCAAAATTTGCTAAATTTTTCAATCAAATCATCTTTCTATCACTATTTTAAAGTGTTTTTACATATTTAAACAATTATTTAATATTATATTTCTTAAAAAAACATTTTTTGTTTAAAACAATTCAAAAATACCCGCCGTGAAAATGACTTTTCACGCATTTTCACGGTCCAGAAATAATGTTCATCTCAGTTCATCTGATCGAAATTTGAGGTATAAAAGCACCTTAACCTTCTGGTCGGTTGTCGGTAGACAATTTACGGAAAAAAAGACGATCGGGCTTTAAAGCCCAAAGAACAGTCTCTATAGCGGGAAATTCAAATTCAAAGAAAAAAATAATAAAACAAAATTGATTAATTATTAAATGATCATTAATTAATAATAAATTAATTTTTCAGTAAATATTATATAATTGAGGCTCCCGATCTTAAAAGGGGATACGCGGAGGACAGGCAAGAAAAACGTTGGCCCCTGTAGGTAAAATTTTGAAATTGTCCAAAATTAAATTTCAATGATTGTTTCTTATAGAGAATTGAAATGCGCAACTTTTTTTTAGATGAAAAACTTTTCTATAATTTACCGTTTTTTATTTATTCACAAAAAATGTAACTTTTACGAAATTGAAATTTCAATACATTTTTGTGTTCAACTCGCGATTACTTCATCAAATATGAATATTTCTTCACGACAATTTTACACAATATTCTTCAAACTATTCTAAAAGTGAAGGCACATTTGAAAAATTTTCAAAAATTTTGCAACATAGTATTTAATTGTTTAAATAATTTTTCTCGGAAATTGATTCTCTTGCATTCAAATGAAAAAGTTGAGTGAGGAATTTTCAAATTCGGAAAACTTCCAGTGACGAAAATGTTCATTAATATATAAGGAAGTTTTTTGGAAAATATTAGATCTTTAGTTATTGATTTGAAAAAGTTACAACAATATAAACAACGTTGCGTATTTTGTGGATTGCGACGCTACAGGATCGTAGTCAGCTGTTGTACGTTGTAGCATAACGGTCAGGCAACCGGTTATACTGCGCTGCTACGATCCTGTAGCGTCGCAATCCACAAAATACGCAACGTTGTTTATATTGTTGTAACTTTTTCAAATCATTAACTAAAGATCTAATATTTTCCAGAAAACTTCCTTATATATTAATGAACATTTTCGTCACTGGAGGTTTTCCGAATTCGAAAATTCCTTACTCAACTTTTTCATTTGAATGCAAGAGAATCAATTTCCGAGAAAAATTATTTAAACAATTAAATACTAGGTTGCAAAATTTTTTGAAAATTTTTCAAATGTGCCTTCACTTTTAGAATAGTTTGAAGAATATTGTGTAAAATTTTAGTGAAGAAATATTCATATTTAAGGAAGTAATCGCGAGTTGAACACAAAAATGTATTGAAATTTTAATTTCGTAAAAATTACGTTTTTTGTGAATAAATAAAAAACGGTAAATCATAGAAAAGTTTTTCATCTGAAAAAAAGTTGCACATTTCAATTCTCTATAAGAAACAATCATTGAAATTTAATTTTGGACAATTTCAAAATTTTACCTACAGGGGCCAACGTTTTTCTCGCCTGTCCTCCGCGTATCCCCTTTTAAGATCGGGAGTCTCAATTATTAAAAATAATATATTTAAATTATCTCTACCTCAAAAAAAAATTGTTGCGTTAAGGAAATACTTTTTTTTGACAATTCTTTTCTGTGAAAATAAAATTAATTAACTAATTATTGATTTTTCTAGTTAATTAATTTTTTAAAGAGAAAAATTGCAAAAAAAATATTTCCTGACCCAAAAAAATTGTTGTGATGAAGAAATAATTTTTTTGGCAATTTTTCTCTCTGAAAAAAATTAATTAACCAAATAAATCAATAATTAGTTAATTAATATTTTTACAGAGAAAAATTGTGTAAAGAATTATTTTCTCATCACAACAATTTTTTTTGGGGAGGGAAATAATTTTTTTGACAATTCTTTTCTGTGAAAATAAAATTAATTAACAAATTATTGATTTTTTTAGTTAATTAATTTTTTTTACAGAGAAAAATTGCCAAAAAAATTATTTCCTGCACGAAAAAAATTATTGCTATGAGGAAAAAATTTTTTCACAATTTTTCTCTGTGAAAAAAATTAATTAACTAGATAAATCAATAATTAGTTAATTAATTTTATTTTTAAAGAGAAGAATTGTCAAATAAATTATTTCCTCATCGCAGCAATTTTTTTTGCCAGGAAATATTTTTTTTGGAAATTTTTCTCTGTAAAAAAATTAATTAACTAAAAAAATCTATAATTAATTAATTTTATTTTTACAAAGAACAATTGCCAAAAAAATTATTTCCTCATCACAACAATTATATTCGGAATAGCACTCAGAAGAACTGGGTCGATTAAAAACAAATAAGTGACAAGACAAATTATTTTTTTCGACAGATACTGCCTGTTAATAGGCAGCCGATCTGCGAACATTTTCATTCTCACCCCTTCTTTTGCTCTTCCGGCCAATGAGCGATCGTCTTCAATAAAATTCATCCAGTCGTAGCGCGCTATAGAATGCAAGACATCGCTAATTTGAATAGACCAATCACGAATCGAGAAACGATTTAAGAATTACCCATGTGATTTTTGCGGAAGATACTCGTGATTGGTTGTCATTTCTCCCTCATTTTTGCAACTTTCAGCCGATCAACTCAGTATCAGTACTACTGTCTTCTACATCATATATGGTAAGTGCCACATTTATATTAAAATAAAAGAAAGTTTCCCAATAATAAATTTTTTATTTAATTGAATTGATACTAAAAATATTTTATAGTATTTTTTTATCTCAAGTTATAAAAAAAAAAGATGTGAAGTGGTGAATTTTTAGTCTGGTGGACCACGTGCCCGTGAAGATTCAAGATATATTATGCGGGTTTTGTCTCTGTTTTCTTTGTTTGAACATTTTTATTTCGATTTCAATGTTTTTCTCAAATTTATTAATATTTTCCAGTGAATCGCGAATAAAAAATTTATATTTAATTATTCGTGGCACGTTTATTTCGTTTGTTGCTAAAAGAAAGGTGTCGTTTTTTCTCAAATAAACTAAATTCATTTAAATTTCGAATTAAATAAATGTTACAAAATTTTGAGATAATCCTTTTTTTCAAAATTCTCTGCTTTTTATTAAGGGAAAATGTGGCAAAACCGGGTACCTTTTTTGAATTGCCTTTTTACAGAGAACCAAACGATGAAATTAAGAATTCTTTATTAAACCTTTTATCATTCGAAAATCAGGATGATTGTTGACAAAAAAATTAATAAGATAATTTGTATTTTTTAAAATAAAAACTAACAATAATTTTTATATATAATCTTATTAAAAAAAATTCAAAGTTTTTAAAAATTAGTTAGATAAAAATGTTAAATCTTGGAAATACACTGTTTGCGTTTAATTTAATGTAATTTAAGAAACAATAAAACATAAAGTAATTATAAAATAAAAAAAAATAAATTTTATGAGATTATTTTCAAAATGAATTTTTTCTATACATTAAATTTATTTTTATATTAATTAATTAATTTATTAAATTCTGTATTATTTTTCAATCCAATTTTTATTAAAAAATTAATTTAAAAATGTTCGGATATGATTTTTATTGCATTTGTATATATGAGGCATTGTACGTGAAAATAATTTAATTTCTAGTCATTTATAATTCATTTAAGGAGAAAATAATTTTAACTAACATAAATATTCTAGGGTTTTCCATTGACTTTAATATTAACATTAACTTAAATAATATTATTTCAATATTTGTTATCGATTAATTAATCTTTGTGTTAGAAAAATATAAAATTTTTAATTAATAGGTCAAATTCATTTTACCAGCTCATATATAAGAAATTTTGTGAATCCAAATGAGATTTAGAAATAATATATTTATTAAGGTGATGTGATGAAACTGTAAAATTGTTCCAATTTTTAATTAAAGCTTTCTTATTTAATACTCTTCACATTAAAAGTAGTTAATATTAAATAGTTATATTAGTTGGAATGAAATGAAAGAAATAATCAAACTGAGTATAACATATAATGATTTTTACTGATAATTAGCTATTAACCAATTTATATTTGAAGAGTACCACATTTACTTAATATTTAATAAAAACTTACTTTTTGTGCACGCTCTTTCGAGCTTGTTTAGATGGATGGACTGGGATCCTCCACCGACAAATGTTCTACGAAAGACTTCAAGGCATTGAAATTTTCGGGATTTCTTATAGCTGTTGGTTCCAAAATCCCATGGAGAATGAGACCAATATTTAGTATATTGCGTCCTGCATTAATGTCCCGTTCCCACGTGATATGACAGTTGTTACAAACTGCATACCTATGGGGACTCTTGGACACCTTATTTGACTCCAAATCGACACAATTACTGCACATTATTGTTGTTCTGTGCTCATTGACCGTCACAACTTTCAGTTTGTTTGGGCCTAACACCCTCTCCATTTCCAAAAGGCGCTTCTCTATTTTTCTTACTGGAGTTTTCACGTATCCCCTAATGAAACCTGGAATTTCCGTTTTTCCTAGAGCAACAAAGCACGGTTCTTCATTAACATTGCCAATTATGAAGTTAACAATTAGGTCAACTTCACGTTGGACACTCATATATTTATCCCACTTTAGTCGGGCCACGTATTTATTTTTGCGAGCAGGTTATTGATCGTGAAAAGTTTCCAATCTATATTTTGTTACTCGTTCATAATCTTCTGGATTATTCGTATCAAGGTTTTTATATTCCTCCTTTTTCAAAACTCTTTCAAAATAAGCCTGGTAATTTTCTTTTCTTTCGTTTTTACATTTTTTTTTCAAAATTGATCGCCGCTTTTGTTCACCTGTTCGCCATCTATAGCTTCTGTTGCTGATGTATACTGCAGTGTCCTTCTTCTTGTTAGTTTCTGATGGTTCAGGGGAATCCTTTCTAATGACGCCAGCAACGAGAGCCTTGCTTCCTGGATCGAGTCCTACATACCGTTTGTATTTGTCTTTCGGCACTGATTTAGTGTCCGATGGAATCGCACAAGAAAACGTCGGGTTTTTTATGTCGAAGATTATAGAAACATCTATACCATTCGTGGATATAGTTCCTGAAAATTCTTTATACTTTAATTTTTTCCCTTTCCTTTTCTTCGCAGTATTGTCAAATTTTTCCACATTGAAATATTCCCGCCATTTCTCGCCAATTTCAATTTTCTTGGAATTGTATTCGCCCTTTTCCTTTTCTTCAATTGGTTTTCCTTTATTTTTTGACATTTCTTTCAGTTCATCTCTTAAAGGTTTTATTTCTGCTTCTATAATTTTAATTTTTGCTTTTTCTTCTTCTTTCTCTATATCTGTCTTAAATTTCAATCCTTTCCAGATTATTTTCTTTTGCTTCCTCTGGAGGAAGCTATGTAGTCCTTCAAATTATGAAATTATTAGAAATGCACCAAACAAATTTTTTTCTATTTATAAATGTCATATATAAGTCCCTGATCAATTGTCCGGATGTATGTATGTGTGTGTGTATGTGTGTGTGTGTGTGGATCCATTTTTTTGTGAACACGATAACTTTAATACGTTTTAACGGATTTGGCTAAAATTTGGTACGTATATTTGTCACATCAATATCTCAAAATGGACACAATGATTTTAGAAAATACCCACAAAAAAATTTTTTTTGGCATTTTTTCAAAAAAATCGATTTTAATCGAAAAAATTTATTGAAAGCAAAATTAAAGGCAATACATAGTAAAATCGTATTCCTCATATCAAGACGAATCGATTGGTATATATAAAGTTTATATTTCATTGAAATTTAAAGAATAAATTAAAAAATTCAAAATTCAAAAATTCATATTTTAGTTAAAAAAGTTTTTGTGAACACGATATCGTTGATACGTTTTAACGGATTTGGCTAAAAATCGGTATGTACATTTGTCACATTAATATCTCAAAATGAACACAACAATTTTAGAAAGTACCCCCTAAAAAAAATTTTTTTTTACTTTTTTTCAAAAAATCGATTTTAATACCGGAATCAGTCGATAACAGCAATAAAACGGTTGAAAGAGTGGAAAAGGTGGAAAAAGATATATTTTTTGAAATCATTTATCATATTTTAAAAATAATATGTATATAAATTATTAATTTATTGCTTCCTCCAAGAGGAAGCAAATCTTTTGCTTTGCGCAATGAGGAAGCAAAATGTTCATGAAATGAACATAAACTTCTTTTATAAAAAGGGACCCCCATCTTGTTTCTTTTGCAATGCATCTACATTTTCTTGCATATTTTTCTTCAAAGTTGACAAAGCTTCACGTTCATTTTTTCTTCTGGTTTTCTCTTCTTTTTCTTTAATGATTTCGCTTTGTGTCCTTGTTGCTCTTTTCTTTTTTACTCCCAGTTTTTTTTCTGTGACAACTTTTCTGCATTTATTGCATTTTCTAATTCTGACAAAACAGTATTGGTGTAATATACATGTTTTAAGCCGTAATCTAAAATTGGAATCAACTTAAAATTTTTGATTTTCATTTTATGAAACTCGATTTGAAGTCGTTGGTAAAATTTTATGAATTTGTAAAACTCTTCATCAATTAAAATAAAATTAAGTTTTTCGTCATCGCGGAGCAGCTCTTTAAAACTTTTATTTTCCAATTCATTGGTGTTGAACAACTGATCGACGTCATCTTTAATTTCTTTTAATTTTTTTTTCGAACTAACCCCGACAAAGTGCCTTTATTTTTGGTACTTTTATTCTTTTTTACATTTTCTTTCATAGTTTCCCTTCTTCTTTGTTTTTTTCTCCTTTGCTTCTCTCTTTTCTTTATCTTTTTTGCTTCCTCCTCTTTACTGTTACTCGCAGTAGCTAATCGAATGTTTTTGGTGTAGATCCTTTCAGTTTCCTGTTTTAATCGCTTAAGTTGATTCTTATTCCACTCCCGTTTTTCGCCAGGGGTTAGTGTTTTTTGTCTGTGTCTTGCAGTCTTCTTCTTTTCATTCGTTTTTGCTCTTCGTCGTTTATTGCGTGCAACACGTTTCATCATTTGCTCTTCTTTTTTTTTTATCTTGAGTCTTCTCTTCCATACTTTCAGGACATGTTATGTTGTTATTTGAATTTTCATTCAAAAACTTTGAAAATAAATAATTTACTATGCGTTTTTTTGCATGAGTAACAATATTTGTTTTGAAATTTCTGTCCAAGGTTTTTGCCATTTCCTGAAGCAAGTGAGTGCGGTGTTCACATTTGTACAATTTCTTTTCTTTCCTTTTTTCGTTATACATCTTAAACAGTTGATCGAGTTCAGGATGTTTTGATGAGTGTTTTTTTTCCTTAAAATATGGAATAATTTTTGAAAAGTCTGGTTCTTCTTTACACCAAGTATTTAATAGCCACGGTTGTTCCGTGTTTCTTAGACAATATTCAACAAAATATGTCACTTCTATCAAAAGATCTGACACTATATCGACATCTTTGATTATTCGTTGTCTAACTTCTTCGTTTTTGCAAAATTTTTTAAGACCCATTTTTAAAACAAATTTCTTAGTTTCATACTTGTTGTCTTCGCAAAATTTATTATTTCGTTTTTTCGATAATTTTATCTTTGTTTTTTCTGTTTTTTGTTCTTCCTTTTTTATTGGTGATTGTATGTTGGAATTGATCTGCAACAATTCCACACCTATTTGTTCTGATTCCAATGTTGGCGTTGTATGGTTCACTTTATGAATAAATCCATTCGCTTGCTGTTGTACATTGGATTCATTTCTCATTTGCTGGCATGAATGAAAAGGCTGCAAGCGGGATTGTAGCTTTCTGCAAATTGTTTGCAGTCTTATTTGACTTTCTCCTTTAGTTTCTGAAATAAATACAAGTTCAATGTAATATATGAGCGATTTCACGTGAGATTTCCGTCGACCCTTTAAAATCGGTAATAGTATATTACGATACTAGGCCAGAAAGTTGGATTTCCTGGCGGGCGTGAAATATAAGGCCGAGGCGAAGCCGAGGCCTTATATCACGCTCAGCAGGGCATCAAACTTTTTGGCCGTGTGTCGTATACAATTTTTCTTTATCCCCACTCGAAAGTACGTTTAATAATTATTATTTTTTAATAAAATGGCATTAACCATGTGTCTACTGCTGTGGCTCGCGTCAGCGCGCCCTCCCGGCCACGTAGCGAAGCTTGTAGCAGAAGGCTTAGTTACAGATGACAGGTAGCCCGCCCGACTTTTGCAAAACCGAGGCGAAGCCGAGGTTTTGCTGGTCGGGGCGGGCGTCAAAATTATATGAAAAATATAAATAAAACGCACAAAAATCCAATGCACGAATAATAATTTGGCATATGGAATTTAGTTTATTAACCATAAGGCATCTAATCACCTGTGTTGTGTCTTTGTGTATATATAGTTAACCTTTGAAAATTTTTGTTTACTTTATAATAGTGGATGAAAGTGAAAGATTTTCAGTTTAGACATTTAAAAAGAAGGAGAAAGTACAATAACACTTACACAAGTACATCTTATTTATACATGATTTGTCACTTTTTTTTAACTTAGGTTGCTTATTTTTGTGGTTATTTACCGCACTTGACACAAAACAGGCCATGAAATAAGCGTTGCTATGTGGTTGCTATGCCATCAAGCCTTTAAAGTCTCGTAGCCAATCAGAGCGCACGTTGTTTCTGGCCGGCCACAAAAGCCGTTCTTCCCTGAACGATTACCGACAGGGAAGTCCGTACTTTCGGGTAGGGGATACAGAAAAATATATTTTTTTCTTGCTCTTTAGTAAAAAAAGGTACGTATTTTTTGACAAATTTTTGAGTTATGAATTTTTAAAATTTCAGTTTTGTAAATGTAGACCTATTTTCAATGGCTCATAACTCGAAAAAAATAGATTTTTTCAATTTTTTCCAAGAGAAGAAAAGTTTTAGTTTTTCTTTTACTTTTCAATAATGTTAACGAAAAATTTTTTTTTATTTTTTATTAAAAAAATAACAATTTTTTATAAACAAATTAAGTTTTTTTAAATTTGGATATGATTGAAAAAAATTTTTTTTTAAACATACCTGGAAATGCTAAAAAGATTTTGCAAAAAAATTTAGAGTGGGCCAATATAAGTTTTATATCTTTAAAAAACATTTAAACACCGCGCGCAGTATTGTGCACATTTCTGAAAAGTAAAAAAAAATTTTTAACAATTTTACAATTTTTTTACTTTGCAGAAATGTGCACAAGGCTGCGCGCGGTATTTAAATGTTTATTTAAACCCATAAAACTTTATGGCCACTCTAAATTTTTTTGCAAAATCCGAGGCAAAATCTTCTTAGTATTTCCAGGTATGTTTAAAAAAAAATTTTAATTATATCTACATTTAAAAAAACTTAATTTGTTTATAAAAAATAAAAAAAAAATTTCGTTAACATTATTGAAAAGTAAAAGAAAAACTAAAACTTTTCTTCTCTTGGAAAAAATTGAAATATCCGTTTTTTTCGAGTTATATGAGCCATTGAAAATAGGTCTACATTTACAAAACTGAAAATTTAAAAATTCATAACTCAAAAATTTGTCAAAAAAAAAAGAAAAAAGTATGTATCTCTTTTTTTTACTGCAGAACAAGAAACAAATATATTTTGACGATTTTAAAAGGCCGACGGAAATCTCACGTGAAATCTCCCATATAGTATATATAGTAATATCTTAGATAATTAGAACATATTACTCTTTTCACAATAAAAATTAATTGAATAAACTAAATAAATAATCGTCTTCTTTAATAGAACCGGATTTTTTGAAAGAAGTTTAAATTTTTTTTTACTTTCCACTCTCTTAATTTGAATTAGTGAGATTTTCACTGATTGCAATTTATAACTGACTTCTCACTGATTTTCAGTGAAGATAATTGTTTGAATCAATTAAATTTTACTGGAAATTAGTGAAATGTAACTGATTCCCAGTGAATTTCCCACTGATTTGATAAATATATATATACTTATAAATTATTGTTTACAGCAAAAATTTCTTTCTTTAATTTATCATAACAGACTACGATGTTACATCACAAAAAATGTTAAACAAAATCGTCATTCCTAAATAACGTACATTTTTATTGGCATACATTTTTTAAGTAATTTTTCTAAAATTCTACTTCTACAATTTTTATTATTTTTCATCAACAATTTTTAAAAATACTTTTCAAAAAATTAATCTCATGAATTTTGATAAAAATTTTCATTTTTTTTTAAATTACAATTTTAAAAAAGTAAAAAATATTATTTAACAAATTTTTAATAACAGAGATCACAATAATTTGGATAATTGAAAGTTCATTAAAAAGAAATTTGAGTCTTATTAAAATTACTTAGTATTAAAATTATAATTAAATTAAGAATATATTGAAATTTTTACTTATAAAATTGGATTAAATTAATTATAAATTAAAATTTATGTTAATTATATTTTTATGAATTAAATGCATAATCAATTTAAATTGTCATTAATAGTTTAGACCAGTGGAAATGAACATTGATTGTAATCGGATAAACTTCCGAAAACCCCCCCCTTCCGATTTTAATGAAACTTGGTATACTTACGTAATTTCATGCGCTGATCACGAAAATGACAGTGAAAATTACCGCAAATTTCATTTTTATGGTGAAAACCATAAAAAACACCATAAAATTATGGTTTTTTGCGTTTAACTCGTAAAAAACGCAAAATTAAAAAAAATCGTTCTCACAAAAGTTGTAGAGCTTCTAAAAATGAACATTTTATGTCCTATACATTTTTTACCAAAAGTCATTAGTTTTCGAGAAAAATGCAAAATATTTAAAAACGGTGAAAATCACCAACTTCTAGCTATTATCCACAAGAGGCAGATGTCTTATGTGACGGACAATATCTTTTAATAAAAAACCTTCTACTCTTTGCTGTGCAGGGCTATTTCGAAAAGAACTTTTAGGGGAAGACATCTTGGAGGAGGGGGGTCGGGGTGGGTTCCGTACCTTCCAGTACCATTAAGAATGTGAATTTGACTGTCTGTTTAGAAAGAGAGCAACGATACTAGGGAAGGCGGGCTTCGCCCGCCTCTGCATTCTTTGCTGTGCAGGGCTACTTCCAGGGGGGGAGGGGGGAAGACATCTTGGAAGAGGGGGGTCGGGGTGGGTTCCGTACCTTTCAGTACCATTAAGAATGTGAATTTGACTGTCTGTTTTGAAAGAGAGCAACGATACTAGGGATGGCGCGCTTCTCCCGCCTCTGCATTCTTTGCTGTGCAGAGCTACTTCCAGGGGGGGAGGGGGGGAAGACATCTTTTATATTATATATACATAATATATGTATAATATAATATAATATTCAAACGAATCAAATTTAATGTGCGATCTCTCAAAACTATCTTTATAGGAATTCCAGTTTCGTGGTATTAGTAATTTTTGTAGTGTGCTTTTCATGTTTCTGCATTTTTCTCGAAAACTAATGACTTTTGGTAAAAAATGTATAGGACATAAAATGTTCATTTTTAGAAGCTCTACAACTTTTGTGAGAACGATTTTTTTTAATTTTGCGTTTTTTACGAGTTAAACGCAAAAAACCATAATTTTATGGTGTTTTTTATGGTTTTCACCATAAAAATGAAATTTGCGGTAATTTTCACTATCATTTTCGTGATCAGCGCATGAAATTACGTAAGTATACCAAGTTTCATTAAAATCGGAAGGGGGGGGGGGTTTTCGGAAGTGCACCCTTTGTTTCTAAAAATTTTCATTCTTTAAAAAATAACTACAATTCCAAAATTGAACTATATCCATAATAAAAAAAAATTAAATTAAAAATAAGTAAAAGAAAACTAAGTTAATAAAACAATAAATCTAGTAAAACAAGTATCAAATTAATGAAACAACTCACCAGTAAGGACAATATCATTATCTCCATTGTCATTTCTGGATACGCTCTTGCTTCTAGGTTTTGAGGCATTCTCATAGGAATCGTTTCCTGACGACCCCTCGCTACATTTTTCCAAATCTTCGTGAAATTCCGAATTCTTTTTAATATCTTCGGTTGAACAGACTTTGACATAACCTTTTTCCAAAAATGTTGCATTTCGCGTTTTTGGTGGTTGTTTCGCACCCTCGGCAACAGAATCATTAATCCGTTTTCCAGCTTCCATGGATATTTACCTTTCCGACGCTGCATTTAAATTTTCCTCCACGAATCAACGTTTTTTCTCGATGTTATAAATTTTTTCGATTGATGGTTTCTGTTGAAATCTGAAGTTACAAATGAATTACTTTATGTTTTATTGTTTCTTAAATTAAATTAAATTAAACGCAAACAGTGTATTTCCAAGATTTAACATTTTTATCTAACTAATTTTTAAAAACTTTGAATTTTTTTTAATAAGATTATATATAAAAATTATTGTTAGTTTTTATTTTAAAAAATACAAATTATCTTATTAATTTTTTTGTCAACAATCATCCTGATTTTCGAATGATAAAAGGTTTAATAAAGAATTCTTAATTTCATCGTTTGGTTCTCTGTAAAAAGGCAATTCAAAAAAGGTACCCGGTTTTGCCACATTTTCCCTTAATAAAAAGCAGAGAATTTTGAAAAAAAGGATTATCTCAAAATTTTGTAACATTTATTTAATTCGAAATTTAAATGAATTTAGTTTATTTGAGAAAAAACGACACCTTTCTTTTAGCAACAAACGAAATAAACGTGCCACGAATAATTAAATATAAATTTTTTATTCGCGATTCACTGGAAAATATTAATAAATTTGAGAAAAACATTGAAATCGAAATAAAAATGTTCAAACAAAGAAAACAGAGACAAAACCCGCATAATATATCTTGAATCTTCACGGGCACGTGGTCCACCAGACTAAAAATTCACCACTTCACATCTTTTTTTTTTATAACTTGAGATAAAAAAATACTATAAAATATTTTTAGTATCAATTCAATTAAATAAAAAATTTATTATTGGGAAACTTTCTTTTATTTTAATATAAATGTGGCACTTACCATATATGATGTAGAAGACAGTAGTACTGATACTGAGTTGATCGGCTGAAAGTTGCAAAAATGAGGGAGAAATGACAACCAATCACGAGTATCTTCCGCAAAAATCACATGGGTAATTCTTAAATCGTTTCTCGATTCGTGATTGGTCTATTCAAATTAGCGATGTCTTGCATTCTATAGCGCGCTACGACTGGATGAATTTTATTGAAGACGATCGCTCATTGGCCGGAAGAGCAAAAGAAGGGGTGAGAATGAAAATGTTCGCAGATCGGCTGCCTATTAACAGGCAGTATCTGTCGAAAAAAATAATTTGTCTTGTCACTTATTTGTTTTTAATCGACCCAGTTCTTCTGAGTGCTATTCCGAATATAATTGCTGCGATGAGGAAATAATTTATTTGACAATTCTTCTTTGTAAAAAAAAATTAATTAACTAATTATTGATTTATCTAGTTAATTAATTTTTTTACAGAGAAATATTTCCAAAAAAATTATTTTCTGGCAAAAAAAAATTGCCTCGATGAGGAAATAATTTATTTGACAATTCTTCTCTATGAAAATAAAATTAATTAACTAATTAATGATTTATCTAGTTAATTAATTTTTTTCACAGAGAAAAATTGCCAAAAAAATTATTTCCTGCACGAAAAAAATTATTGCTATGAGGAAAAAATTTTTTCACAATTTTTCTCTGTGAAAAAAATTAATTAACTAGATAAAACAATAATTAGTTAATTAATTTTATTTTTAAAGAGAAGAATTGTCAAATAAATTATTTCCTCATCGCAGCAATTTTTTTTGCCAGGAAATATTTTTTTTTGAAATTTTTCTCTGTAAAAAAATTAATTAACTAAAAAAATCTATAATTAATTAATTTTATTTTTACAAAGAACAATTGCCAAAAAAATTATTTCCTCATCACAACAATTTTTTGTAGCAGGAAATATTTTTTTTGGCAATTTTTCTCTGTAAAAAAAATTAATTAACTAAAAAAATCAATAATTTGTTAATTAATTTTATTTTCACAGAAAAGAATTGTCAAAAAAATTATTTCCCTCCCCAAAAAAAATTGTTGTGATGAGAAAATAATTCTTTACACAATTTTTCTCTGTAAAAATATTAATTAACTAATTATTGATTTATTTGGTTAATTAATTTTTTTCAGAGAGAAAAATTGCCAAAAAAATTATTTCTTCATCACAACAATTTTTTTGGGTCAGGAAATATTTTTTTTGCAATTTTTCTCTTTAAAAAATTAATTAACTAGAAAAATCAATAATTAGTTAATTAATTTTATTTTCACAGAAAAGAATTGTCAAAAAAAAGTATTTCCTTAACGCAACAATTTTTTTTTGAGGTAGAGATAATTTAAATATATTATTTTTAATAATTGAGACTCCCGATCTTAAAAGGGGATACGCGGAGGACAGGCGAGAAAAACGTTGGCCCCTGTAGGTAAAATTTTGAAATTGTCCAAAATTAAATTTCAATGATTGTTTCTTATAGAGAATTGAAATGTGCAACTTTTTTTCAGATGAAAAACTTTTCTATAATTTACCGTTTTTTATTTATTCACAAAAAACGTAATTTTTACGAAATTGAAATTTCAATACATTTTTGTGTTCAACTCGCGATTACTTCCTTAAATGTGAATATTTCTTCACTAAAATTTTACATAATATTCTTCAAACTATTCTAAAAGTGAAGGCACATTTGAAAAATTTTCAAAAAATTTTGCAACCTAGTATTTAATTGTTTAAATAATTTTTCTCGGAAATTGATTCTCTTGCATTCAAATGAAAAAGTTGAGTAAGGAATTTTCGAATTCGGAAAACCTCCAGTGACGAAAATGTTCATTAATATATAAGGAAGTTTTCTGGAAAATATTAGATCTTTAGTTAATGATTTGAAAAAGTTACAACAATATAAACAACGTTGCGTATTTTGTGGATTGCGACGCTACAGGATCGTAGCAGCGCAGTATAACCGGTTGCCTGACCGTTAGGGTGCTCGCACAAGAAAAGACGGAGCAGTGTGCAGGATGTGTTTCAAATGAGATAGAAAAAGACAGGAATATCGCTCTTTTCTTTTCTAACTCATTTGAATCATATCCTGCACACTGCTCCGTCTTTTCTTGTGCGAGCGCCCTTATGCTACAACGTACAACAGCTGACTACGATCCTGTAGCGTCGCAATCCATAAAATACGCAACGTTGTTTATATTGTTGCAACTTTTTCAAATCAATAACTAAAGATCTAATATTTTCCAGAAAACTTCCTTATATATTAATGAACATTTTCGTCACTGGAAGTTTTCCGAATTCGAAAATTCCTTACTCAACTTTTCCATTTGAATGCAAGAGAATCAATTTCCGAGAAAAATTATTTAAACAATTAAATACTAGGTTGCAAAATTTTTTGAAAATTTTTCAAATGTGCCTTCACTTTTAGAATAGTTTGAAGAATATTGTGTAAAATTTTAGTGAAGAAATATTCATATTTAAGGAAGTAATCGCGAGTTGAACACAAAAATGTATTGAAATTTCAATTTCGTAAAAGTTACATTTTTTGTGAATAAATAAAAAACGGTAAATTATAGAAAAGTTTTTCATCTGAAAAAAAGTTGCGCATTTCAATTCTCTATAAGAAACAATCATTGAAATTTAATTTTGGACAATTTCAAAATTTTACCTACAGGGGCCAACGTTTTTCTCGCCTGTCCTCCGCGTATCCCCTTTTAAGATCGGGAGTCTCAATTATATAATATTTACTGAAAAATTAAGTTATTATTAATTATTGATCATTTAATAATTAATAATTAATCAATTTTGTTTTATTATTTTTTTCTTTCAATTTGAATTTCCCGCTATAGAGACTGTTCTTTGGGCTTTAAAGGCCGATCGTCTTTTTTTCCGTAAGGGCGCACTCACACCTCTGGCTGCCTGCACAGGCAGCCAGTGAGAGCCAATCAAAGAGTCAGTAGATTTAAATTTGAATTTTCTGTCTCTCTTACTCTTGTACGTTTTCTGCGTGGTGGGAGGCTGCCTGTGCAGGCAGCCAGAGGTGTGAGTGCGCCCTAAATTGTCTACCGACAACCGACCAGAAGGTTAAGGTGCTTTTATACCTCAAATTTCGATCAGATGAACTGAGATGAACATTATTTCTGGACCGTGAAAATGCGTGAAAAGTCATTTTCACGGCGGGTATTTTTGAATTGTTTTAAACAAAAAATGTTTTTTTAAGTAATATAATATTAAATAATTGTTTAAATATGTAAAAACACTTTAAAATAGTGATAGAAAGATGATTTGATTGAAAAATTTAGCAAATTTTGCTTTAAAACGTTTTCTGCTACAAGAAAGTGTAAAATGACGATGTTTGTGAAATGGTTTGTACAGTGCTTCTTCCTTGTGAGTGTCTCTCAGAGTTTTGTTTACGTTTTGTCGGTTCCTTTTAACTTGTAATAAATAATGAGTGCTGAAAGTAAATCGGTAAGTTGAAATGTTTATTAAATAAATTGAAATTCAACCAATTGTTTCGAATAACTGAACGAAACTTAATTTATACAGAAAGTATTTCAGAGATGAGTGGAAAATTGATTTAAAACCTCAAATGTATTCACGTACTTTTTGTGTTTTTAAATGTCAAGTTTTATAATTACTTATGATTTTCATAAGTAATTATAATTAATTTTCGAAACAATTAGTTGAATTTAAATTTATTTAATAAACATTTCAACTTACCGATTTATTTTCAGCACTCATTATTCATTACAAGATTGAGATTAAGCTTTTTTCACATTTTATGCAAGAAACAACAGGGGTTTGCTTTAAAATTTTAAGTCGACCCCACAAGCCCACTACTATTTTCACTATTTTCAGTAATCTCAGTAATCTCAGTAATTTTACTTGTATACAAAATATAAATACAAATAAAATAATTTTCATTTAAAAGGAGGAAAAAGAAGAAATAAAATAATTTAAAAATTACCATCAACTTTATGTAGAAATATACTTGTTTTAATAATGTAAATAAAGTAATATTTCCGGTAAATATATTCATTTCTATAACAGTTCCTTATGTTTTAAGTGTAATTTATTATATTATTCCTTGCGTTTAAAATATAAGAAATAATAATTAAAAAATTTCTTCTCAACATTATAGTTACTGTTAATTTTTATTTTACTTATAAACGACGCGTTATTATTTAATACTTAATATGTAATGTATACAATTTTAGTTCAATCATGATTTGTTTTTATTGTAAATATTCGTACAAAGATGTAAAATAACTTTTTCTGTAAATTTGTTAAGTAAAAAGAAAAAAATATTAACACCACCGAATGATAAATTTCTGAAAATTATCCAACAAATTATTATAATCTTCATGAATTTATCATCATTATTATAGACATAATATTTTTTACATTTTTAGAAATTTCAATTAAATGTAAATAAAAAATGAAAGAAGAAAAAGAAAAAAATGTTGATCCTGAAGGACACAGATATGGAAATTTTCTAAATTATTACAATTTTCATTCTGCTGAAGAACGAATTCAACAACTTCCTTTAAATATTTGGAATTCTTCGGATGAAGTAGATTATAAATTTAGTGCTCTGGATATTGGTTGTAATAGTGGAGTGAGTAAAATATTTATTTCTTTTAAGAAATAACGTTATAATTAATAATAATAATAATATTTAAAAATTCTATAATAAAATAATTTATGATTAAGTATTATTTCATCTAAAGTCATTGCGACCTACTTTTAGAAAAATCTTATCCTAATAATCATTTTTTATATCCGCGTACAATTCATTTTTTACTTTTTAATTTTATTTTATATAAATATGAAAAAGATTTACCTTTAATGTTAATGATTTGAGAATTTTCGCTGATTTTGAACACTAACAGTTTCTTTACAGAAAAATGAAAAAATCCTTTTTTTTTTAGTATTTTAATATTAAGTTTTTATATTTTAATATTTTTTAATATTCCTTTTTATTCTAACAAATTTTGGAATTGGTAAAGAAGTTAATTTTTATGTTTATTAAATTTTCAAAATTTGGTTCAAAATAGAATTTGACTTCTAAAATTTAAGTACTTTTGTAAAACTCATCTTTAAAATATATTTACCTTACAAGGTAAATATATGAAATTTTATTAAATGTAAAAAATGAATTGCACGAATATAAAAAATTATTATTATAAATTATAAGAGTTTTTTCAAAATAGGCCTCAAAGACTGTAGCAGGCCTCGGATTATACGACTTTTTCCGACTTTTTTTTTCAAAAATACGACTTTTTTCGACTTATTTTAATAAAATACAACTTTTTTGACTTTTTTTTCATTATTTCAATTATTTAACAAATTTTTAACTAAAATTCTTCACTAAATTAATTATTTTTAATAATTTTAATGAAATTCTTCACAAATTCAATTATCTTAAACTATTTTTCAATTTATTTATTTACATATATACAGGCAATGCCTTTTCGTTTTTGCCAGTTAAAATTTTTATGAAATTTAATAATTGTTTATAATTTTTAAAAAATTAGTAAATAAAATTACCAAAAATTTTTAATTCAAAGTCACTTGAAATTGAATTATTTAGCAAGAATTTCAATTATTTTTAATGATTTTTATAATAATATTCGAAAATTTAACTATTTGAAACTATTTTAGATTTAAAAATTTTTCAAATTATTGTATTTTTGTCTGCAATTATTTCTAATAAATTTTTTAGTAACAGAAATCATCAAAAATTTTAAATTAAAAATCATTTGAAAGTTAAATTAATTTCAAAACTGTAAATTGTAAATAATTGAAAAATCAATTACTTTTAAAAAATGTTATCTAAAATTATTTGACAAATTAATTTTAGTTCTGTGAAATTTAATTATTGTCTGAAAATTAACAAAATCTGTTGAAATTTAATTATTTCTAAAAATTTTAACTTTAACTCTTCTAAAATTATTATTATTTAAAAAAAAAAATTTATTTAAAAATCTGTAAAACTTTGTTAAGTATTGCCTGAATTTTTATTTTTTTTTATTTTTCAAAAATCTGAATTGTAAATCTTGGAAAATTGAATTATTTTTGAAAAAAGGTTATCTAAAACTATTTGACAAATTATTTACAATTCTGTAAAATTTAATTATTTTCGGAAATTTAACAAAATGTTTTAAAATTCAATTATTTCTAAAATTTTCAACTGTAACTCTTTCAAAATTTAATTATTTTTAATACTTTTAATATTTCTTACAAATTCAATTATTTAAAAAGGTTTCGAAAAAAAGCTCTAAAATTAAATTATTGTTTGTCAGAAATTAAAAAAGAAAAACTATAACAGTTGAAATTTGCAGAAAATTTGCAATTCAATTATTCAAAAAAAATTTGAAAATTTAATTATAGTACGATATTTTTTTGATCATTAAAATTTAAAAATTTGCCAAAATTTTAAATTCAAATAAATTGTTCAAATTAGTTTTCAAAAAAATTATAACTTTAAGAATTTTTTTTAGAAATTTGTCCTACTTAACTAAAATTTTGAAAATTAGTTCGATTTTAAAATATTCGAAATAAATTTTCTTGATAATATTTTTATATAATTATTCTCATTACAGAATTAATAAAATGAATTAAATATCTAATAACATTAATTATTTAAAGTAAAATATTCATTAACCAATTAAATTTTGTTAAAATAAAAAAATCGACTTTTTCGACTTTTTTTTTGGAAAATAAATCGACTAAAACGATTTTTTTTTGTGCCTTAAAGTCGATCCAAGGTCTGCTTCAGGTGAAATATAAATTAAATTGACCTTTAAAAAGTAAAATAATGTATTATTTAAATATTAATTTTTATAAATCTTGCCTTTTATAGAATTTATCATGTTTGCTGTATAATTTCCTCCAAGACAATGTATCACCTAAGGATAAATGTAAAATTTCACTTTTGGGAATTGATCTTGATTCAAAATTAATTGATAAAGCTCAATTACAATGTCCCACGTCTAGTGTAATCAAATTTGAGTGTCTGGACTTTTTATCTCAAGACAGAGAACAGTTGATATCGGACCATTTGAAAAGTATAAATAAATCTAAATTTAATGTGGCTTTTTGCTTTTCAATTACAATGTGGATTCATCTTAATCATGGTGATGAGGGTCTAATAAAATTTTTAAAAACAGTTTGTGAAATTTCTGATATGATTGTGATTGAGCCTCAACAATGGAAGAGTTATAGAAATGCTTCAAGACGATTGCGTAAGGCAAATGTTGATGATTTTTTACTGTTAAATAAACTAAAATTAAAAGGCGATATGTACATGCACATTGCAAAGATTTTAAAAAATGAATGTAATTTTTCAAATGTAACAATAACGAATGAAAATAATTGGCAAAGGAGATTATTGATTTATAAAAGAAAAAGTTGACATTAATATTATTGTTCTCATGCCACAAAAGATGTTGATTTTTTTAATAATTCAAAAACTAGATTTTTGCGAGGATTAAATAATTATCTAAAAAAATTTTTGATAAAATATAGCGATAAAATTAGATTAGTTTTGTAATTTAGATTTAACTTAGTCGTTTTTCTTTTGTAAACCCGTATATAATGTTAAAATAAAATAAAATATTTATTTCTATTTGCAAAATAAATATGTAAGAAGAAAATTAAGTTTAATAAATAAATAAAATAATAAACTTGATTTCTTTAGAAATTAAGTTTTGTTTTCGAAGATTTAAAATTTACAATTCTGAAAATAATAAACATTTTTTAACTTTCTTCGGGTCATTTAAAAAGTATTTTTCAAATAATTTAAATTTAAAAAAAGCTGTTTACAAAAATATAAAAAAAAGAAATGATTGTTAAAAAGAGTATAAAAATACGTTGTCATGTGCCAGAGTTTATTAAAAAGAAAATTTCAAAAAATTTATTTTTAAAAAATTTTATATTTGAGACAATGACTAAAATTATACATTTTAACAATATTATTGATTTTTCCTCAAATATGCCATTTTTTAAACAAAATATGAATATACTCTGGCGATTACAGTACAAAAAGTCCAAAATAATATGTCCAAATCTGAAAGGTCCAATAATTAGAAGGTCCAATGGACAAAAGGTCCAATAATTAGAAGGTCCAATGGACCAAAGGTCCAATAATTAGAAGGTCCAAAACAACCGAAAAGTCCAAAATAAAAATTGTCCAATATTGAAAAGTCCAAAAAATATAAAATCCAATCAAATTTTATTTTATTTCAGCGGGAAAGAAATTGTTTATTCCACTTTCATTTGTTTCACATGAAGTTGTTTAACGTGTAACCTTGTTTTCATAGTTTCAATGTTTTCCATCATTTGACATGTAAATTCTCGTCGTGTTATCATTCGAAATTTTTTGTGTATAATTTTCAATCTTGAATTAAATCAATATGATACTTACGTCCAAGAAAATCGACAGACTTCTTACATAGAAGCACTTGGTCACTATTTACATTTTTGAAATTTTAATCTTTTTATAACTTTTTGCAACAATCTTTTTACAAATTAACAAATTTTTTTACAAAAAACATTTTACAACATTTTTTAAAAATTTCTGAATATATTAATCTAAATTTTTTACAGATCTTTGAGACACATGATTGTTTACCTCCCCGTGGTGTGTCTTGAAAACAATGTTTCTGAAATATTTCAAAATAATGTATATTTCAATAACATTGGCTAAATATCAATCAATTAAATAAATTTTTATTTTTGGACTTTAAATTTTTAGTTTTGGACCTCAAATTTTTAGTTTTGGACTTTTGGATTTTTTGGACTTTCTAGATTTTGGATTTCCTAACCTTTGGACTTTTTGTCCTTTGGACCTTTCGGATTGGATAATCGGTCTTGGACCTTTTATTTTGGACCTTCTGTACTGCTACCACTCTGGCACATGACAACGTATTTTTACACTCTTTTTGAATTTTCCACAAAATTTGAATTCAATTTATAAAGTAGATATTTTGCGGAGAATATTTATTTAGCAAATCATAACAATCACATAACCTTAAAATCTTTCAAGTTTTTTTTTTTTTTGTATTTTTCTCGAAAACTGAATTTTGGAAAAAAATAATGTGTTTCAATCAGATATATCTACATAACATTTTGCATGTTTTGCGATATAATAATGGAAAAAAAAAGTAAAATATTTTTTTAAAAAAACCGCGACAGTTGGTAATATAGTTATTACCAAATGCTACCAACGTAAGCAAAAAACAGTAAAAAGGATAATAAAAAGTTGTTGCTAACATGAATTCAGCAAGTAAGGTAAGATAAATTGTTAATATTTACATATAACTATAAAAAAATAAACTGAAAATATTTTATTTAACATTTTATTAAATTTTTCTCATTAAATATACTCATGTGAAAGTCGAAAATAGAAGTTATTGGCAATTTTCAGCGGTCAAGAGGTTAGGTTTGAAATGCTTTTATCAACATTTTCCACTTACAGAGAGAAAACATTTATAATTTCAAAAATAACTGATTTAAAATTGTTGATATCACTAAAATTATTGTATTTTTTAAATATCTGTTTTAATATTCCATTCTATTGTCACAATATATTGTCGGTAAAAATGATCATGCATTTGTTTTAAAGTTATAATAATTTTTGCTTTCAACAGGTAGGTGAAATTTTCACTGCAGCTGGTGCAGCATTCAATAAATTGGGAGAATTAACAATGCAATTACATCCTACTACGGATTCACCAGCCGGGTAAGAGAATAATATTTTGTTTACATTTTTTTCGCGCTCACCATTTTAGTCACGTGATCAAAATAAATGCTCGAAAATTTAAATACAATGAGATAAATAATTTTGTTTTTTATTTAAAAATGATTGATTTTCAATTGTTTCTTATAATGAGAATTTAGACAATTTATTAAAATAAAATTTTTTTACAGTAAATGGACTGATGAGGAAATTGAGATGCTCTGTCACTCGGTTAAGACATTTAGTGAAGAATTAAACAAAATTAGCGAACACATCAAATGCAGAACTGTGTAAGTCGTAATAAGTTCTAATCGAGAAAAACGGTTCTAACTCAATTTCTTTATCAGTAAAAATTTTTCCATAATTAAGAACAAAAAAGAAAAACAAAAATTGTATAATTATTACAGATCACAGATTAGAACTACATTAAAAAAGAAAGCTTTTGAAGAAGCAGGAGTTCCTATTAGACAGCAACAAATTTTACAATCTCAACAACAATCTAATACACAGCAACAACAAGTTCAAAAAGTACAACAGGTTTCAGGAAATCAAGGATTAATGGGTAAATCAGCTGAAGTAACGTTGAATATGTTAAATGCATCGGAATCTGAAGTTGATGTTGAAGGATTACCGGAGGAATGTCAAGTTAAGCTTGAATTTGAAGGAGCAACGGAAGAAGTTGCTTCCTAATATACAGAATATAATCTATTGTATCCTTAATGTTAATTTATTATCTTCGTTTCAATCCATTTTAGGTTCAGAAATTTTATAACAAAAAATAAATTTAAAAAAAAAATTAAAAATTTTTATTAAAAAAAAAAAAAATAAATAAAAATTTATTAATGAAATAAGAATACTTTTTATTTCGGATATGGAATTTTTATGTAAAGACAAAAAATAATTATCTTCGTTTGAATTAAAGATTCAAAAATTTTATACAAAAAAATAAAAATTAATAATTTTCATTAAAAATAAATTAAAATTTATTAATGAAATAAGAATATTTTTTTGTTGTTTCGAATATGGATAATTTATGTAAAAGTGTCAATCCATTATATTTCACCTAAAGTCGTTGTGGACTATTTTTAGAAAAATCTGATAATTTGTAAAAAATTTTAATTGATATCCGTAAAATTTATTTCTGGCAATTTTATTAAATTTTATATTATTTTATTTTAACCTTTAAAGGCACTTTTATTATTTAAAGAAGATATATCTTGAATTTTAAAACCAGAACTGGAATTTTTTATTGTTTTCGAAACAGGTTATTGGTGTGCCAAGTTTATAGAAAAATACTTAATATTATCTTATTATTTAATTTTCATTAAATTATAAATATTACTATTATAATGATATAACAATAATATTTTTATTATTATCAAAAAATATTTTCAAACTTTCTTAAAAAAAAATATAACTAAAATGTATTAAATTTTGACGTTTCACCAATAATTTCAAAAATCAATTTTTATATGTTTTTGTCTTTTTTTTATATATATACATATATATATCAAAAAAAGTCAGGGAATTTCTTTAATTTTCTGGAATTTTTTATAAATAAATTAAAGTAACTATTAGTTTCAAAATTTTTTTACTTTTTTTCCAAAGCAAATGCAAATTAAAAAGTTGGCCTTCCAACGCAATTATTAAGCATATGATATATCTTATATTCATTAAGTAAATAATTATTTACTACTATTTATTGAATCTAATGAATGATTTTTTAAACTTTGATAACAATTAATTAATTTTTTTTTCAGTGAAATATTTGGTTTTTTAATATAAATAAAAATTAATTGGTACAATTTTATTTTATCGGTTCTACTTCGAATGTTCGAATAAAGTAAATTATTCATTAATGCGAATAAATTTATTATTTAATGCTAATACTCACATTTAACTAATAAAAATTTTTACGGCGTCGAATATTAAATTATCGAATTTCTATTTAGCAAAATTGTATAAAGTGGATTTTATATTATGCAAAATTTTCAATTTACATTTAACTAAAATTCGATTTAAAAGAATTTCTATTTAGCAAAACTCTTATATTTTTTCTAATACTTTTTTTAAATTTCAAATTAATATAATTTCAATTTAACGAAATTTATGTCTATAAAAATTATCAAAAAAAGAACTAACAATAAGAAGAATTTTTCTTAAATGAGAATTCTGTTAAATAAGAATTAGTTCGAATTAAAATTTTCTTTAATAAAAATTTTGTTAAATAGAAATTCTGTTAATTGTGGATTTATTCAATGACAATTCTGTTAAGTAAATATTTTGATAAATCAAAATTTACTAAAATAACAATTATGTTAAAAAAATTTTTTTATGGATTTTTTCTTGACAAAAATTTCACTTAAATATTTTATTTTTTACGAAACATTATTTATTTGTTTCAAATGCATATGAAATTAGTGGATAATAGACAGGTAGATTATTTAATTGTATCAAAATAAAAATTTTTTGGTGTAATTTTGGTCAGGGAAAAGTCAGGGAATTTTTTTCCTAGCAGTTGTTAGACACTCTAATCTATCTTTTGAGTAATTACCAATGAAAAAATATAAATATAAATTATTTATGTGCCTTTTTATTAAATTTTCACATAAAAAATAAAAAAAAATGAAATAAGAATTATTTTTTATTCGGATATGTAAATTTGATATAAAAAAAAAAAAAAAAAAACATCGGTCGATGAAAATCGTTAAAAAACAATTTTAATTAAATTTTTACAGTAGGAAAAATGTCACCAATTTGCAAAATGTTAATTTACTTTTAGCATAAATTATATAATTGATAAGGAAACCGATACTGGTTTCGAAATGCGTTAAAAATGTTTTTTTGATATATTTTTCCTGTTCTAAAAATTGCCAAAATTCTATAGAAATTATAAATTATAATTATTTCTCATAACGTTAAGTTTTAAAATTTCATTTATTGTTCCAAAAAATTTTACAATTTAACAGAGAATAAAAAAACAGTAATTTCCAAAAAAAAAAAAAAAATAATCCTGGCTCAGGTCTCGCATAATATTAAAATAAAATGTTCTTTTTAATAATATATAGTTTAATATTAGGTAGATAAATTTTTTGTCACGTATTTTTTAAATAAAAATTTCTCATTTGAAAATTCCTTTTTTTTAATAAGATCAGTTATAGTATATGAAAAGTTTACGCATGCGTAATACCAACCTCTGAATTTATTTGGATCATTGACGCATGCGTAGTGATAGTTGCAACAAATGAGAAAATTTTAACATATATACATTGTATTGCTACAGATGTTAAAGTTCTCGTTTGTTTTTATTTAATAGTTGAAAATTGAAAATTTGTATTATTTCCTATAATATATTTATACAATTAATTTATTGTATATTTAAATAAAATTAGTGCAAATGAGTTCGAATATCAACAGATGTTGATGACGTACATAGTGAAATTAGAAGTAAATGCATCAGTAGCTTTTGACAGATAACAAAGGATTAGTTGAACATATAAATTATGGAGGGTGGAATAGTGGAGAGTCCAGAGTCAACACTGGGAAGTTCATCAGACGAATTAAATAATGATGGCTGTTGTAATCCAAAAAAAATTAGCTTTCGTTTATCTGGACTTATTCTTATGTGTTTACTCGGTTTTGGTAAGAAATAAAAATTATAAACATCAATTTCTGTCTAAATAAACAATGGATTTTCTATCATTATTTTCATTGTTTATTAGTTATATTTTACAATACTTAAATAATTTCAGCTGTCATATATAATTTTATTTTATATTTTTTAAAATATTCAAGCTGAGATTTAAAAAATTAAAAAATTGAAATTATGTTTTTAATTAAATACACATTTATGGTAAATATTGAAATAAATTTTCCGTTTGTTTTATATTTCGTCTATCTTTGTAATTCCTTTTTTTTTCATTCACATTATGCAGATAATAGAATATCAACACAAATGCTGTCGTTGATAAGACTTAAGCTATAATTTTAGAGATAATTATTGTGGAATATTTGACTTACAATATAAATTATTAAAGTAATAATTGGCACTATAGATAATGAATAAGAAAATTTTCCAAAAATTTAAATAGCTTTGTTATATGTTTTACATAATTTGTAAATTAATATTATTAACAATAATATTCTTAATTGTGAACAATGCAAAGCTTTGTTATTGAATGATTTGTATTCATAAAGATAATTTTTTTCGTCAAGTTAAAATTATTCATTGTTATGTTTTTTTGTATACACTTGTAAAATGAAATTGTTTGTAACTATAGTGAAATCCAATTAAAAAAATCACTACTACATTTTAATGTAGAGATTGAATTTTCTGATACACATGACGATTGCAAGATGATATTACTCATGCATGAAAAACGCGATACATATTATAAATAATTTTCGAAGGGAATTTAATTCACGTAATCACATTTTTTTTTCCTTATTTGGATATATGTATGTTTAATTAATCATTTGTGGGAAACTTCTTCTTAACAAATAATTATTATCAGACAATGACATTTCTTTTGTTAATGTATATATATATATTAATTAAAAAGTGACTAATTTATTTTTCTCTTTCATTTATAGGTTCTTATTTTTGCTATGATAATCCGGCAGCACTTCAGGATAATTTAATGAAAGACTTGCATATGTCAACGACTCAATTCGTCCTTTTATATTCAATTTATTCTTGGCCAAATGTAATATTTTGCTTTATAGGAGGTTTCTTATTAGATAGAGTATTTGGAATTCGTTTAGGAACAATTATATATATGGCTCTTACAATGATTGGCCAATTTATTGTTGCCTTTGGTGCATTAGCTGATGCCTTTTGGCTCATGGTAGTCGGAAGATTCGTCTTTGGGTACGTAAAAAAAAAAAAAAAAATTTTTTTACATCTCCAATCTTGAAAACTGAAAAATTAGAAAAATGATGTGATTTTAGTTATGCCTTGAAAAAATCATAAATTTACCTTGATTTTTTCTTAAATCTTAAAATTTTTTATTTTTCAAATTAGACATTTCGAATTTTTTTTTTAAATTAAAACTTTTAATGCGAATTATACATAGATTTTTGGTCTACATTATCGTTAACAATTGTTTGAAGAATTCAAAATTTCACCATGAATTGTGAAAACTAATTTTAAAACTGATTTTCTGTTAACAAAAACGAATTCTTAAAAATTCAATTAGTTAATACTAGGCGAGAAGAATAATATATTTTTTTTTTCAAACATCAATATTTTTCACAATAATCGATAATTTTTTTATTTATAACAAATTTTTAATATTACAATTTTCCAATTAGAATTTTGTAAAATAAAACTTGTTCTAAATAATTTTATCAAAATAATATTTTTCTAAATTAGCACAACTTTCGTTAATTGATAATTCTCATTTTTTAAAATCAATCTCAAAATTTGTTTTCGAAAATTTTTGACAATTTTTTATTACTATTTTTTAATTATTATCTTTTGAACTAATAATAAAAAAAAATCTGTGTGCTGTAACATAAAAAATTATAAATTATAAACATAAATTTAGCTTCATGAAGTTGGCGTCGACGCTCAGCGTTGAAAATTATTTTTCATGTGACCAAAAATATCAAAACATTTTTTAAAAATGTTTTGAGTCAACACAATGCATTGAGAAGTATTTTCCAATGTATAATTTGGATTGAAAAATTAAAAAATAATAATTTGAAATTTTTGATTCTGCGAAAAATAATTTTCGGCGTTGAGTGTCGAAGCCAACTTCAGGGAGGTATAGATTTTATATTTACTTTATTCAACTAAATTAAAAACAACATTTTTAAAAAGTTTTTAATTTTTTCAAATTCACCAGTATTTTTTTTAAGAATTACACACTCTTATTATAATTTTAAATAAATTTTCAATATCAAGAAAATAAACACCGTTTGTTTTAGTTTATAATTCAAAACTGTTATTTTCTTTGATAAAAATATAAATATTCCTTAATGCTTACAATGTTAGAAAAATCTGTATTAGATTAGTGAAAAACTTATTGTATAAACAAGAACATGCATGTATTGAGTAAAATGCAATTTTTTAATTCTGATTCTTATAGGTAATGAAATTTAAGATACTTTGTATATTACTTCCACTTTAATATATCAGTTTCTTAAATTTAAATGTTTATAGTAAAATTTGGTTTTATGGCTTTTTATAGGACAAGTAAAAGATATTAAGAAACATCTTTAACGTTTCGGAATCGGTACCGATTCCCTCATCAGAATTTATTTCATCAATTAATCCTGAGGAATTAATTTTAATAGTTGTGAATCAAATAAAAGATCATTTCTGTTAGTATTATTAAGAAATTTTTATGATTTGAGAAATGATATGTAAAAAAATTAAAATATTTTAAAAAAGGGGAAATTTAGAAAACTTTTTTTAAAAAATTATTAATATTAAAACGGATTTTTTGATCCATTTTTAGTTGAATCACAACCACTAACCACTAAGTGGTTGTGATTCAACTAAAAATGGATCAAAAAATCCGTTTTAATATTAATAATTTTTTAAAAAAAGTTTTCTAAATTTCCCCTTTTTTAAAATATTTTAATTTTTTTACATATCATTTCTCAAATCATAAAAATTTCTTAATAATACTAACAGAAATGATCTTTTATTTGATTCACAACTATTAAAATTAATTCCTCAGGATTAATTGATGAAATAAATTCTGATGAGGGAATCGGTACCGATTCCGAAACGTTAAAGATGTTTCTTAATATCTTTTACTTGTCCTATAAAAAGCCATAAAACCAAATTTTACTATAAACATTTATAATTAATTGGGACATAAAGAATTTTAATTCTTAAATTTAATTACTTTATGTATATTAAAATTACGATCATTTCTAACAGTGTATATTATACTTGTATTGAATTCGACGCCTCTCGTTGATAAAATTGTAATTCCATCATCAAAACAATATAATCGTAACTCAGAGCTCAGTTTAATATAAACGTCGCTAATTTTCAGAATAATAAAATCGTATCTAAAATTTAAACATAATTCAATCATAATAATTGTTATTTCTTTTTCTTATTTACATATAAATATAATATTAATTCTCTATTTTACAGGCCTCGGATTTATACGACTTTTTTCGACTTTTTCTGAAATTTCTTCAAAAATATACGTCTTTTTTGGTATACAATTCAGAACTTTTTTTTTTTTTTTTTCTAAATTAATTACTTTTAATAATTAATATCAATTAAAATTTTTATGAAATTTAAAATCTTTTAAAATTTTATTACCTTTTTAAAATTTTTTTATCTAAAACTTTTTGAAATTTAATAATATTATTTAATGATAACTGTTCCAAAATTTAATTATTTTTAATGATTTTTATAATATTCATCAAAAATTCAATTATCTGAAAGCATTTTTCAATTAAAAAATTTGTAACTTCAATTTTTGTCATTAATTTTTAATAAATTTTTCAGCAACAATTTAAAACATAAAATTTAATTATTTCTAAAAATTTCAACTGTTACTCTTTCAAAATTTACTGATTTTAAATTGTTTTTTATAATATTCTTCAAAAATTCAATTATTTGAAAGCATTATTATTATTATTTTATAAATTATTTTCAATTCTGTAAAATTTAATTATTGTTTGAAATTTAATTATTTCTAAAAATGATAATGTATAACTAACTCTTCCAAAGATCAACTATTATTTTTAATAATTTTAATATTTCTTTAAAAATTCAATTATTTAAAAAAGTTTCAAATAAAAACTCTAAAATTGAATTGTCAGAATTTTTTTTTTTTTAGAAATTTGTCCAACTTAATTAAAATTTAAGTCTTCGATTTTAAAATATTCGAAATAAATTTTCTTGATAATTTTCCTAAAGAATTATTCTTTTTAAAGAATTAATAAAATAGATTTAATATCTATAATAACAATAATAATTTAAAGCAATATACTTATTAATTAATTAAATTTCATTAAAATTAAAAAATTCGACTAAACCGACTTTTTTTTACCCTTAAAGTTGATCCGAGGCCTGATTTTACAAAAGATGGTTTAAATTGAATTAATAAATATTTATTTAAATAATTAATTAGTAATTTAAAATTTAATTTTTAAAAATATAATAATTTAATTAATATACTTATATGAGATAATTATAAAATTTAAATATTTACCAAATCAAAGAGTTTCTACGAATTGTTTACTAGCGTAAACGAAAAAATAAAATTTTTAATGTTTTTAACTTATTATTCTAGATAATTAAAAATTTATTCACACGTTAGTAAACAATTGCTAGAAATTATTGTTTATAATATAGAATTTTTAATTATTTTTTTTTTTCACTTGCAGAATTGGAGCCGAGTCTTTAGCAGTAGCACAAAATAGTTACGCTGTCCTTTGGTTTAAAGGCAAAGAATTGAATATGGTATTTGGTTTTCAGTTAAGTTTTGCCCGAGTGGGATCCACGGTTAATTTCGTGGTAATGGAACCAATTTATAAATATGTCTCTCAATATTATCGTGGACCAACGTGTATTGGAGTTGTACTTTTTCTCGCTGCTGTCACATGTGTAGGATCAATGATTTGTGCTTGTATATTAGGACTTATGGATAAACGCATGGAAAAGGTATTAAGACGAGGTGAAGGCGAAGAACCACGAATTGTAAGACTTACTGATATGAAAGATTTTGGAGGAATCTTTTGGCTTGTTGCATTTATTTGTATCGCCTATTATGTTGCGATATTTCCATTTATTGCACTTGGAAAGTAAGTTAATTGAAATTTAAAATGAAAATATTTTATGAACGTAGGTATTTCAATGAATATTTTTAATAATTTTCTTTTAATTTTTCAGAGTATTTTTTATACAAAAATACGGTTTAGATCCAAGTAGTGCAAATGTCGTGTGTTCAATGCTTTATTCTGTGTCTGCCATTGCATCGCCGGCGTTTGGTTTAGTTATTGATAAAACTGGAAAGAATGTTTTATGGGTTTTCCTCAGTATTATTGGTACAATTGTTGCACATGGACTTCTTGCATTTACGTTTGTGAGTCCTTATATTTGTATGGTCATTTTGGGTCTTTCGTATTCAATGTTGGCGAGCAGTCTTTGGCCTTTGATTGCACTAGTTGTTCCTGAATATCAACTTGGCACTGCTTATGGAATGTAAGTATTGGTCGAGAATTTTATATAGTACATTGTGTCCAGCAAACCTTGAAAACGTTGAAAAGTTCTTGAATTTTTTTTTAATTTTGAAAAACCTTGAAATTTTTTGAATTTTGTAACAAAACCTTGAATTATTAAAGTTTCTTAAAAGGATATTTATTTCTTAAAATAATTTGTTACACTGATAATCGGATTGTTAATATAAAACTAACAAATCTAGTTTGTTATTGCAAAAAAAATTTCATTCATTGAACATTTTTTTTTTAAATTCCTAACATTTATTTATTTTTACAAACGGAACAAAGATCTCCATTTCTTATCATAAATTCTGATTTTTTTAAAACTTGAAGATTTTTTCGATTATTTTTAAATTTCTTTTTTTCAAATACTTTTTACCTTCTTAAATCTTTTTATTATAAAAAATTTTCGTTTTTAAAGGGATTTTTACATCAAATTTTCTTTTTTTTTTGCAATTCATAAAATTTATATATTTATTTACTTTTACAAAATAATTGGAGATTCTCAATTTTCTCGCAATTTCCCCTTTTATTCTGAAAATTTATAAAATTCTCGATTTTCCCTTTTTCCACACTATCAGGCATTGGATTATAACGACTTTTTCCGACTTTTTTTTCAAAAATACGACTTTTTTCGACTTATTTTAATAAAAAGCAACTTTTTTGGCTTTTTTTTTACATTTTTTTAAAATAAAATTTTAAAACAAAATACGTGTTTTTAATATACAATACAGATCTTCTTTATATTTTCTTTATTTCAATTATTTATATAACAAATTTTTAACTAAAATTCTTCACTAAATTAATTATTTTTAATAATTTTAATGAAATTCTTTAAAAATTCAATTATCTTAAACTATTTTTCAATTTAAATTTTTATGAAATTTGATAATATAATTTAAAAAAAAAATTGGCAAATGAAACAACCAAAAATTTTGAATTCAAAATCACTTTAAATTTAATTATTTATAAAAATTTCAATTATTTTTAATGATTTTTATAATATTCTTCGAAAATTTAATTACCTGAAAGGATTTTTCAATTAAAAAGTTTTGGAATTCAATTTTTGTATTTGATTTCTAATAAATTCTTCATCAACAGAAATCACTAAAAACTTTTCTTATATTTATTGTCTGCAATTTAACACAATTTTTTGAAATTCAATTATTTTAAAAAAATTCAATTTTAAAGATTTTAAATTTTAATTATTTCTAAAATTTTCCATATAAAATTTTTTGAAATTTTATAATTTGAATTATCATATAGTTCTATATTATAAACAATCCGATTATTAGATTTAACAAATTTTATTAACAAATTTTATTTTATGTATAAACTATAAAATTGTTTACACTTTTCTTCCACTTATTGATCTTATATTTATTGAGAAAAGTTAAGGAACAAAGAATACTTTATTATAAATAAAAAATATTTTCATAGTTTCTACAAGGAAAGTGGAAGTTAACAAAAAATTTTTTGGATATTGAAAAATCTTATAAAGTCCTTGAATTTTTTTTTAATTATTGAACACCCTGTATTAGCAAAAATTACTTAGACTGAGTTGCTTTATTATTTTTAAGGCATTAGTAATTAATATAATATAAGTTGTGAAGTGTAGCAATATTTTTTGAATATTCCAAATTTTTTTCATGAAATTCACGTTTAGCTTTCGATTAATATTTCTATATTAATCTATATTTCTAGTAATTTGTTAAAAATATAAACAATTTATTTATTAATCTAACTTCTTCGATTTTACAAAAATTTTTTTTTTATATTACTCGTAAAACAAACTAAAATCATTCCCAAAAGTAATATGCAACAAAAAAATTATTTGAAAAATTGAGGGAAAAGTTGAATTAATTTTTATTTTTTTAAGGAAAAGGACCAGTGAAATTTCAAACTATCGCAATTAATGTGGTTAAGGGGTGTAATTTTTTTTCTAGTATTATTCAGGATCTAAAATTATTATACATTAATAAAATTTTTTAAAAAATTAATTTTGTACATTTTGGAAATTTTAATTTTTGCAAACATTAAAGTTTTTTTAAAATCCATACGATTGATTGTTCAAAATCATAAAAAAAAATAATCAATGTTATGAAAGAAGTTCAATTTTTAAAGAATCAACAGTAAAATTAATTTAGGGGGTAAATATTTATTTTTTTTTTTGCATTTTTTCAGAACTTTAAATAAATATTATTTTTAAAAAATTACATTATTTTTAAAAAATGAGAAATATTAATCGAAAGCAGTGTTAATTTTAAAATAAAATAATAAAATTTTATAAAATATATAGTTTAAATTTAAGGGGGTCAAAGTTTGGTCACTCCTTAAAAATTATTTTCTTAAATAATAAAAAATATTTTACTAAATAAATACATACGGAAATATTTATTCATTATAGATTTTTTTTTAAATAATAAACCAAATTCGCTCTAGGTAATTATTTCTGACCTAGCATACTATTTTTTTTATGTGCATATTAAATGATTTTTTTATTCTCTTTATTTCAGTGCTCAAGCAGTGCAGAATTTGGGATTAGCCGTAGTATCGATAATATCAGGAATGATTGTCGATAAAGGTGGATATTTCATGTTAGAAATATTCTTCCTCTCTTGGTTATGGAGTGAGTTTCCCATCATCTTAATTTAGAATTAAGTTTTAATTTACCAAAATCAAAAATGTTGATTATAAAAAATTGTCTCTTTTTTTTCTAGTTTCTTTAATCACAGTGATTGTAATTTGGATATCTGATAGAGCAACAGGTGGTTATTTGAACATGACACCAGGTGCACGATTGAATTATGATCAATGTCGTGGATCTATTGATGTAGTGGAAAGGGAACAATTGCTGGCATCAGGATCAACTACCGACCTATCCGGAGATGATTTGCTTCAATCTCAATCAGACACACGTATGCGTAATCGATATTTAACTCGGATCGGAGCTGCAGTATGTAGCTAGATTCACTCACTTATAAAGTACAATTAAGTTTTAATTAACATTTATTGTTTTAATTTCAGGTTCCCGTGCATATAAAAGGCCTCACATATAATACAATCCAATGATGTAGGATATATCATTTAGGACAATTTTATTAAATTAATGAATTTATTCTATAAGGAAAAAATTTAATCTTTTATTGAGTTTTCGCAATTCATTAATGTTTCCTTAATATTGTTCAAACAGTATGTAATTAAAATATAGCTAAAGCAATATTAGGAAATTAATGATTTGCACTCTCAAACTACGAAAAAAAATAATTTCTTCAGTCTTCCTTTTGCGCAGTAAATACTGTGATAATCGTAAATAAATGTTCAATTTTTTGAAAATCCTAAATATATATACATATATATATCTGCGCAAATCAATAGGTTGATAAGTTCTGGTAACAAAAAGAGTATAAAAACTCGTGTATCAACTACAGAGCAAATTATAGACAAAATTGTTTTATGGAACATAAAATGTGTTTTAAATATTTATATGGTATTATATTTAAAGATCTAAAATTTAAGTTTATGTATTTTTTATCATTTTCAATTGGCATCTATCATTAAAACACATTTTATTTCGATGGCAAAAAGATACATATTTTAAGATAAAAACGTTCAAAAGTATAAAAGTGATTGTAAAAAAAATATAAATATACTTCTACTTGTACATGGATCTGACAGATAACTATATATATAATTATATTGTTTATGTTTTGTACCTTCGTTATAATTATATATATATATATATACATATGTACATGTCAATATTTGTGTGTGTAATTAAATAGCTTTAAATGTAATAATATTTTAATATATAAGTTGATTTTTATTTTATCATAATTATTATTGTAATTTGTATATATGTAAGTTTAAAAAATTTAATGAATAAATTTTTTTTATTCTATTTTATGCCTATTTCTATTTTTTGAGAAATTGAAACAAATGACTTTTCTCACATAAATACTAGTTACTTTTAAAATATATAATTTGTAATAGTTCTATAATTAACAATGTTTTTATATTCAAGACGTTCTGGTTTTTAATTAAACTTTATCATAATTTAGTGATTTACAGGTTTTGGTAATTTTTTCTAATAAAAAACATAAAAATTATAAGTCATCTTAGTTATGCCCAAAGAAATTATGGAATTATATAGAATTATTTTATTTTAAAATAATAATCGAATTTGAAAATTTTTTTGTAAAAAAAATTCTACTATTTTTTCAAGTTTATTTTTTATAACTTTTTGAACTAAACAGTAAAAATACTAGATTTTTCAATAGTTAACAGAAAATTATAAAAAAAAAAATTATTTATTTATATTTTTTTCAAAAATAAGAATTAATTAAAGAAATAATTGTTGTAAATAATAAACAAAATAAGTAAACTAAATTTTGAAAAATTTGAAATAATATGAGTCTAAAGTTTTGAACGTTTAAATGAACGAAATTTTTTTTGCAACTTCTTTAAGTACAAATTTTATTACAAAATATTGTTTCAAATATCTAAAAATAAATTATTAATTTAATAATTGTTTAATTTACTGTTTTATTTTACATTGACATCATAATTTTTAATAATTTATAGATTGCAAAAAAATATTTTGTTCATTTCAACGTTCAGAACTTTTGACTCATGAAATAATATAAAAAATTAAAAAAAAAAAGAAGTCAACACTACGCGGTATTCCCAAGCGGTCACCCATCCAAGTACTAACCGCGCTCAATTGTGCTTAACTTTGGTGATCGGACGAGAACCAGTGCATTCACAGTGAAATGAGTGTTGACTGATATTAAAAGTTTTATAAATTGTACATATGTTATACATATATTTTTTGGTTTATAATAATTGTTGCTAATAAACAAATTAAGGACTACATCAACTAAATATTTTTTGTTCAAAAACTTGATTATTGCGTGTATTACTCAAATTAAATCGTAGTAAAATCTATCATAAATAGAACAGTAAAAAAAAAAATAATTTCTAATTTTTTACTTATAAAAATTGTTCTGACAATAACTCTGGAAAAAATTAAAATTTTGCAAAATTACTTTTGGGACATATTTTTATTCGCAAAAACTACAAAATTTGATACATATAAAAAAAAATAGTAGCCAGCTTCAGAAATGAACAGAAATTATATTTACTAAATGATACTTTGAATTTTTTAAAATTTTTCTTTTATAAAAAACTTGATGAAATAAAAAATTTGTTAACGGAAAATAACAAAAGATGACAACTTTCAATGGAAAATTGGTATTTTTTTGTTATGATTTTCTATTTTCCAAAAACATCCGCTTTATCAACATCAACAGCTGAACAGCACAACGTGGTTGGTTATGTTTTTTAAACAGTTAATACGCTGAGAGGCATTTGTGCGTGTTATCCTTCTCCATAAATTCTCCTTCACGTGTTCAATTAAATAAAAAATTATTATTGCATTTATTGTATATGTTTTTTTTTTTTTTTTAAAAAGTGAGAAATAATTTTAAATATGGGGGTCTACGACTTTGCGGAATCAAAGTATAATGTAGGGAGTTCTAGTTTTTCTAAACTAGCACCTAAACGACCAGCAATTATAACACTAAATGAAAAATCAAATAAAGTGCAAAAAGTTGAAGAAAATAGAAATTTTGAACTGTCAAATGAAACAAATATTGAACTTCAAAAAGAAAGAAAATCATTACCAGTTTATATACATAGAAAAGGGTATGTAAATATTGAGGTTATGTATATACTAATTTTTTACTTATAATTTCGATTTAAAATATATATGATATATTAATTCACAGAATTCTTGATCTAATAAGAAAGCACAATACTCTAATAATAATAGGAGAAACGGGAAGTGGAAAAAGTACACAAATTCCACAGTTAATATATACTGCTGGCATCGCAGGTCGTGGATGTTGCATTGGAGTTACTCAACCAAGAAGAGTTGCTGCTGTGACTCTCGCTCGTCGTGTTGCTCAAGAACAAGGTGAATCTTGTGGAAAAAGAGTTGGTTATTGTGTGCGTTTTGATGAAAAAGTTTCTTCCGATACAAGAATTAAATATGTAACAGACGGTATGATGGTGCGTGAAGCAATGACCGATGAGGTTCTTTCCAATTATTCTGTAATAATATTGGATGAAGCTCACGAAAGATCAGTGCACACCGATGTTCTTTTTGGTGTTACAAAAAGAGCACAAAGTTTAAGAAAACTTAAAAATCATCCCCCATTGAAATTAATAATAATGTCAGCAACAATGGATGTAGAGAAATTTGCCGAATATTTTCAGGGTCAAGTTGCATATATTGAAGGTCGTCAACATGATGTTGAAATTTTTCATGCCACAAAACCACAGGATGATTATCTTTTTGCAGCTCTTTCAACAGTTTTTCAAATCAATCGTGAATCTCCACCAAAGTTAGTATTATAATTATTATTTTGATTATAATGAGGGATTCCATGATAAATCAACATATCGTCGACTATGACATCTTCGATTTGTCTCAATTTTTTTTTTTAATAAAATGCGATTTTAAAAATTCTTTTTTTTACAAAATTTTAAAACAAAATACGTTTTTTTTAGGATACAATGCAAATCTTCTTCAGATCTTCTTTATTTCAATTATTTAACAAATTTTTAACTAAAATTCTTCACTTAATTAATTATTTTTAATAATTTTTTTGAAATTCTTCACAAATTCCATTATTTTAAACTATTTTTGAATTAAAATTTTTATGAAATTTAATAATTGTTTATAATTTTAAAAAAATTAGCAAATAAAATTACCAAAAATGTTTAATTCAAAATCACTTGAAATTAAATTATTTCTAAAATTTTAATTATTTTTAATAATTTTTTATAAAATATTCTTCGAAAATTCAATTATCTGAAAGCATTTTGTAATGAAAAAAATTTTTAAATTCAATATTTGTGTAATTTCTAATAAATTATTCAGTTATTTTTAAAAATTTCAATAGAAATTCAATTATTTTCAAAATTTTAAATTCAAAATCAACTAAAATTCAATTATTTTCCAACATTTCAATTCAAAATCAATTAAAATTCAATTATTTTCCAATATTTCGATTGAAATTACATTATTTTCAAAATTTTCAATTTAAAATCAACTAAGATTTATTTACTTTCCAATATTATTAAATTATTTTTAATGATTTTTATAATGTTCTTCGAAAATTCAACTATCTGAAACCATTTTTCACTTAAAAAGTTTTCAAATTATTGTATTTTTGTCTGCAATTTCTAATAAATTTTTTAGTAACAAAAATCATCAAAAATTTTAAATTAAAAATCACTTGAAGTTCAATTAATTTCAAAAATCTAAATTGTAAATCTTTGAAAATTCAATTATTTTTTGAAAATGTTATCTATAAAATTATTTGATAAATTATCTTTAGTTCTGTAAAATTTAATTATTGTCTGAAAATTAACCAAATCTTTTGAAATTCAATCATTTCTAATAATTTCAACTTTAACTCTTCCAAAATTATTATTATTTAAAAAAAATTTTTAATAAAAAATCTGTAAAAGTGGATTAAGTGTTTGCCTGATTCGAGGCCTGAAATTGGAGAATTTTAATAGTTTCTTAATATTTAATACTCATAAAAATGCATTAATTTTAAAAGTTTCTTTCAAAATATAGTTTTTAACTGAACTTTTCAAAAATTTTATGCAAAAAATTATAAAATTAAAATTTACTATATTTTTTGTAATTTAAAGGTTAAAATCTTGTTCTTAAAACTGTATCATTCGATTTGTTTTAAAAAAATTTTTCAAAAAAAATTACTTCCCTTTACAAAAATTTTAAGCCTAGCCCGGTCTTGGGAAAACTTTTTTTTTTAAAATAATTTTGGAATTTTGAATTTTTTAAAAATATCTCCGGTTTTTTTTAAATTACGTTCTTTTATGTATTTTAATGCGTTGATTACAAAAATCATAATGACAATAACTGAAAATTTGATTTTTATGGTGAAAACTAAAATTTTTGGGTTTTTTTCGTTAAGGTTTGAAGAAATCATGAATTCACATAGATTTTTTTTTAAACCTTGAATTTTTAAAAATCATTAATTTTTTATTATGAAAAAGTTGGGAAAATAAATTTTCTTTAATAAGATTTTTTTTGTCAAATATCAATATTTTTCAAAATAATCAATTATTTTTCAGGATGTCCAGTGAACCTTGAAAATCCTTGAATTTTTAACAAAACCTTGAATTATTAAAATTTTCTAAAATATATTAGTTGATATTATTTTATTATAATTCAAACATTTTTAAAATTATACTTTTTTCAAAATTTTTACTATTTTTTTATCGGCAATTTTTTCCTCCCTTTTTTTTAATGATTCTTCTGAATTTCTCGCATATAGATTTTCAATGAATGAAAGAAAAAAAATGAGTTGAAATTTCATTGGTCTCTCTTAAATATTAAACTTTTTTCTCCCAATTTTAATTATTTTTCATCACCAATTTTTTCCACACTTTTTTAATAATATTTCAAAATTGTTAACCTTAATATTTTTCAGTCAAAATTTTGATAACGCAAAAGTTGTGTATAATTTTATTAAATATTTTGTAAAAAAGTGACATAAATTACATTTGTTTTTTTGATAATTCTTATTTTTAAAAACAATATTATAAATAAAGAGACTAGAGTATTTCTGTTAATTTCTTTTTTTTTAAGTCGAATTTCAGGACGAAGCTGAAGTACGCAACGTTTATAATAAACGATTTTTAAAGAAAAAATTTTTTTAAATGAAAAATTCTATAATTTTTTGCCTAAAAAATATTTCTTGTACTTTTCATTAATCAACAAATTATAAAAAAATATTTTTTAGACAAAAAATTATAGAATTTTTCATTTTAAAAAATAATTTCTTTAAAAATCGTTTATCAAAAACGTTTGCGTACTTCAGGTTCGTATTTCGGGGATAGGAAATTCTACAAATTGGTTTATGAATAAATATTTTGAAAATTACTTTGAATATATATAAAAATTGTAAATTGAAAACAATATTTTAAATTATTTATTTTAATCAAAAACACAACCTTTTTTAAAAAAAATTTTTTTTTTTTGTCGAATTCGAAAAATATATTTACAGAAATTTAAAATTTAATTCATATTTTTTCTATTCATTAGGAACAAAATTCAACATATTTTCGGAAATTTAACATCCTGTACCTCTATCATTTTTTCTAGTGCACTCGTAATATATTAAAATTTTTAAAAAGTACTTGAAAATTTTAATTATTTTCTAATCTAATTATTTTTATTTAATTTTTAAAATTCTATTTTCTGAAAAATTACAAAATATGGAAATAATTTAATTGTCATAATACAGGGTGATCGCAAATCAGAAAGGAACTTGAAATTAGTGAAAACTGGTTTTTAGATAAAAGTTAGAAATTTTTTTAAAATTCTTTAAAAGTCAGGGAATTTTCAGAAATTACAAATTAAATATCAAGAAAATTGTTAGTCAGAAAAAATATTTCAGGGAAATATCTGGAAAATTTGAAAATATAAATTTTATAACACCCTGAAATATTTGATGAAAAAAAAAATGAATTGCAAAAATAATTGAATTTTTGTCACATAATAATACTTGAAATTTTTATTTATTTTTATGTAACTCTGACGCGATATAATATAATAATGATTTAACATTTTCTTTTTTTTTATTTAATTTACTTGTTTTTTTTTGTAGTAATTGTAATTCAAAAAATCTTTAAATTATTTTCATAGTTATGAAAATTGAGTTTTATTCAAAAAATTTGAATGAACATTTTGATATAAATATAAAATAATGATATTTTAAAAATAAATAATTAATTCTTTACAGTGAAGATATTCTAGTATTTTTAACTGGTCAAGAGGAGATAGAGAATGCAGTTATGCTTTGTCGAGGAGCAGCCAAATTAGCAGAAGGAAAAGGATTTCCTTCTGTAAAAGTGTTTCCTCTTTATGCTGCATTACCAGCTCATCAACAATTAGAGGCATTTAGACCATCTCCTCCAGGAATGCGAAAAGTAGTTATATCGACAAATATTGCTGAAACTTCCGTTACAATAGGAGGTGTGTAATAAAATTTATTTCTCAATTCTCAAAAAAAAAAAAAAATGTAATATTTTTATTTTTTCAAATTTTATCAATTGAAAATTTTCAAGGTATTCGTCATATAATTGATACTGGCGTTGTAAAAACAAGAATGTTTCATCCAACAACTGGATTTGATAGTTTGAAAGTTGAAAAAGTATCTAAGGCACAGGCTCGTCAAAGAACTGGTCGTGCTGGTCGATTGTCCTCTGGATGTTGTTATAGAACGTATACTAAAGTTGAATTTGATGCTTTGGCGGAAATGCCTATTCCTGAAATTTTAAGATGCTCTCTTGTTGGCGTTGCTCTTCAATTATTGGCTATCGGTATTGATATTACAACTTTTGATTTTATGGATAAACCACCAAAAGAAGCTATTGAAGTAGCAGTGGCATGTTTAGAAAAACTTGGCGCTGTGAGAGGTAAACAATTTTCATTAAAAATCATCTTTTTTTTTTTTTAACTTAGTCCTTGGATCGACTTTAAGGCGCAAAGAAAGTTGTTTTAGTCGATTTACATTAAAAAAAAAAGCGAAAAAGTCAATTTTTTTTATTTTAATTAAATTTAATTAGTTAATAAGTATTTTACTTTAAATAACTAATGTCATTCGATATTAAATCTATTTTATTAATTTCTTAATAAGAATTAGAAATATTATCAAGAAAATTTATTTCGAATATTTCAGAATCGAAGACGTAAATTTTAAAAATTTTAACTAAATAGGACAAATTTTTAAAAACAAAAATTCTGACAATTCAATTTTAGATTTTTTATTTGTAACTTTTTTTAAATAATTGAATTTTTTAAAAAATAATTGAACTTTGGAAGAGTTAAACTAGAAATTTTTTTAGAAATAATTAAATTTCCAAAGAATTTGTTAAATTTCAGACAATAATTCAATTTTACAGAATTGAAAATAATTTATCAAATAATTTTAGAAAAACATTTTTTTAAAAGTAATTGAATTTTCAAGGATTTAAAATTCAGATTTTAGAAATTAATTCAACTGCAAGTGATTTTTAATAGAAATTTTTGGTGATGAAGAATTTATTAGAAATTACAGGCAAAAATTGAATTTCAAAAGTTTTTAATTGAAAAATTATTTCAAATAATTGAATTTTTGAAGAATATTATAAAAAAATAATTTAAAATCATTAAATTTTGGTAGAGTTACAGTAGGCATGTTTTAGAAATTATTAAATTTTAGAAGGCTTTAAATTGATATTTTTGAAAATAATTGAATTCAAGTGATTTTGAAATAAAATTTTTAGTAATTTTTGTTGCTGAAGAATTTATTAAAAATTAAAGAGAAAAATTGAACTTTAAAAATTTTTAATTGAAAAATGTTTTCAGATAATTGAATTTTCAAAGAATATTTTAAAAATCATTAAAAATAATTGAATTTTGGAAGAGTTATAAATGAAATGATTAAAATTCAAAAAGTTTTAGATGGAAAATTTTTAAAATTATTTAATTTTTTATAGGTTTTAAATTGAAATTTTTGGTAATTTTATTCGATTTTTTTAAAATTGTAAACAATTGTAAAATTTCATATAATTTTTAATATTGATCAACAATTTAAGATAATTGAATTTGTGAAGAATTTCATTAAAATTATTAAAAATAATTAATTTAGAAAAAAAATTTAATTTAAAATTTGTTAAATAAATGAAATAAATTAGATCTAAAGAAGATCTGCATTGTATACTAAAAATTACTTATTTTGTTTAAAAAATTTGTAAAAAAAAATGTAAAAAAAAGTCATAAAAGTCGCATTTTATTTGAAAAAGTCGAAAAAAATCGTATTTTCGAAAAAAAATGTCAGAAAAAGTCGTATAATCCGATGCCTGTTAATTATGTTAATTAAAATTTGACTTATTTATTTGCAAAGGCTCACCACCACAATTAACAACTTTGGGTCGCACAATGTCACGTTTCCCGTTAGATCCTCGTTTTACAAAAGTGATTTTAGCTTCTGTTGAACACCAATGCTTGGAAGAAGCTCTCATAGTTATTGCAATGCTCTCTGGAGAATCTGTGTTTAATGAACCTCCAAGCAAAAGAAAAGAATCCGCTATTGCAAGAACAAGGTATGTATTTCATTGAAATTTTCAAATAAATTATCAATATTAGGATTCTTATGTTTTCTCATTGTCTCATTTTATTTTTAGGTTTAGCTCAGAGGAAGGAGATCATGTTACATTATTGAAAATTTATCGCAATTATGTGGAAACAAAAGAGAAGAAAGTTTTTTGTAAAGAAAATTATTTGCATCACAGGAATTTAGAGTATGCATGTAATGTTCGAAAACAATTGGCTGAAACGGCTGAAAGAGCTAATTTGGAAAAATCAAGTTGTGGAACAAATACTGAAAATTTAAGAAAAGCTCTTCTCGAAGGTCTCTACGATAATGTGGCTGAACTTCAAAGAGATCAAACGTACATGACTGTAAGTTTTTAATTAAAATTGTTATCTATGAAAGGGAAAAGAGAATTTTTTTTTTTGGTATTAAAATTTGTAATATTGATTTTTCAGCTTGGTTCAAGACAAACTGTTTCAATACATCCATCTTCAGTACTTCATAATACAAAACATTCTCTTGTATTATTTACTGAAATTGTGTGCACTGGCAAAAACTATATGCGAGGCCTTTCTACTATTGAAACAGCTTGGTTGAGGTAAAAAAAAACTTGTTATAACTAATATAACAATTTATTATTTGTATTAAGATACTGTAAATAGAAAATATTTATACAATAATAAAGAATTTTTTTATTACATTAATTTAGTGTTTATATTTTTTCCTTGAACGTTAAAAATTTTATTTATACTTCAGTCCAGTGGACATTGAAATGTCCTTAAATTTTTTTTTTACCCTTGAAAAAACTTGAATTTTGTAACAAAACCTTGAATTATTAAAATTTTCTAAAAGGATATTTATTTTTTAAAATAATTTGTTACACTGACATTTGGATTGTTAATATAAAACTAAAAATTTGGTTTGTTATTGCAAATTTTTTTTTTTTGAAAATTCCTAACATTTATTTAATTTTACAAATGGAACAAAGATCTCGATTTTTTATCATAAATTCTAATTTTTTTAAAACTCGAAGATTTTTTCGATTTTTTTTTTCAATTTATATTTTGTAATATTTTTTATCTTCTTAAATCTTTTTATTATTAAAAATTTTCGTTTTTAAAGCAATTTTTCCATCAAATTTTTATTTTTCATTTTGCAATTCATAAAATTTATATATTTATTTACTTTTACAAACTAGTTAGAAATTCTCAATTTTCTCACAATTTCTCCTTTTATTCTGAAAATTTATAAAATTCTCGATTTTCCCTTTTCCACACTGTACATATTACATTAAATTTAATTTCTCTTCATTTTTATAAAATTCTTATATTTTTTTTTCTTTTTCAAATTATTCTTCAAATTCTCGCTTAATTGAAATTTTTAAAATTATCATTTTTTCTTTCAATTTCTTCGACTTATTATTTTCTTAAATTTTTGTTATTTATTGCTTTCATTTTTCTAAAATTCTCGTTTTTGAAAACCTTTTTTTTCCAATATTTATTCTTATTTTTTAAAAATAACTTTTTCCTTTAAATTCTACTTTTATTTGATGAATTCTTAAAATTTATTTAGCAAATAATTTTTTAAACTTGTTAAATATTTTTATTTCTAATTATTCATCTTATATTTATTGAGAAAAACTGAAAGTGGACCTTGAAAAAATTATTCTTTGAAAAACTTGAATTTTTTTTTCAAAAGAAATTTTATCAAACTGAAATGAATTCAAATAATATACATTTTATAAAATAAATTTTGTTATTTTTCTATAATTTATGTAATAATTTAAAATTAAATATGATGAACCTAAAGACCTTAAATTAATTATCAATAAGAATATAAAAAGTTTATAGTCTTTTTTAATTTAATAATTATACTCTTAGGTAAAAATAACCCCCACATGCGGTAAAAAGTTAATTTTTTTTTGTTTAATTTAGTAAAATAATTGATTATATTTTAGAATAGAGATTAATTAATTTCAATGCTTTTTTCAATTTTAGGAATTGGAAATAAGAATGAATTTCCGAGATTGAAAAGAATAAATAAATGAAAAACTTTAAAGAATATGAGAAAATTTTAATTCTTTTCTCTTCATATGCTCTCTTACTATATATGTACATATATTAATTAGATATAAAGTTTTTAAATTACTTTAAAAAAAAGGTATAAAAATGAATTTGCTGTTCCAAATAATGGCGTTCCAAAGTTCAAATACTTTGATTCCCTGTGGGAATTTCTTTACAGGATCACGCGAGTGTGTAGTATTTGAAAACAACTATTAAATGAATAAATTATTTTATCATTGAATTTTTTTTTATGCAATATTGTATCCAAGAGAAGGGGTTATAACAAAAAAAAAATATACAGTAACGACTGCCATAAAACAGAAGAAATTTTCTAAATATATTCACATATTTAGTGTTTGTTAATTGACCCTTATTGTAATTAATTGTTGATTTAAGTTTGGTTTTATAAAATTGAAATTTTTAAAGTTTGAATAGTGTATATAGATTCCGCTACGAAACCAGTTTAATATAAAAATGTTTATTTATGTGAAAATATTGAACTCAAAGTACAAACAGAAATATTCAGGCAATATATATTGCGTAAATTTTTCAACATTCGTTTAAAATTTTGAATTAATATTTTCACGTGAACGTGATATTATATTAATATTGCAAATTTTCAAATTTACTAAAAATTTATTATTAAATGAGACAAAAAATAACCTTAATTATTGAAATTATATGAATAATAATTAATGAAATATAATATTAAACATTTTCTAAAAATAATCGATAGAATTCTGATTAAAATTTGACCCGAAAAATTGTACAATATTGATTTTAATTATGGTTTGAATTATGTCTTTGAAAAAAGGCCTCACAGAAAAAAGGTGGGTAAAAAGTTGTAAAGATAGAGGATAAAAGTCGTTAGGATACAGGGTAAAGGATAAATTTGTGATGGATAAAAATGTTACTAAAATATTACTAGAAAAATGGATGTCATATTTGAGTAAATTGTCTAATTTTAATAAAAATATTAGTAATTTTACACTTAACTTATTAAATCCACAAATTTTTTATAAATAAGTAATTGCATGTGAAAATATTTTGCCTATAATTATTGTCTATTAATAAAAATATCTTTAACTAGTACAACTGACAGCTGACGACAGTGCGTAAATAAACAGAACTGGGAAATTACAACTCAACGTCTGTATTGTTGCACGAAAGCAGAGTTGGGTAGTAACTGAATTTTTTGTGCATATTAGGCTGCAGTGATGGGTAGGTAACATACTTCACGTATATTACATGGTTTGTTACCGTATGTTACATACGTATGATACTTCAAAAATTTGTTACACAATGCATTTTTCGGTAGTGGGGGGGTAACATACGTATTTTACCTCTGTAACAAACCATGTAACATACGTAGAAAACCTCGAGTTTGTTACATTTACTCATCCCTGACTGACACAGCCTAATATGCACAAAAAATTCAGTTACTACCCAACTCTGCTTTCGTGCAACAATACAGACGTTGAGTTGTAATTTCTCAGTTCTGATTATTTACGCACTGTCGTCAGCTGTCAGTTGTATTAGTCAAAGTTATTTTTATTAATATTTTATTATAGGCAAAATATTTCCACATGCAATTACTTATTTATATAAAATTTGTGGATTTAATAAGTTAAGTGTAAAATTACTAATATTTTTATTAAAATTAGACAGTTTACTCAAATATGACATCCATTTTTCTAGTAATATTTTAGTAACATTTTTATCCATCACAAATTTATCCTTTACCCTACATATCCTAACGACTTTTATCCTCTATCTTTACAACTTTTTACCTACCTTTTTTTCTGTGCGCTAATCGATTAAAAATTTAAATCATGGCAATCGGTTGTAATAAGTTCGATAATAATTTACGGAAAATTCACAGAAAAACGATTTATTTTATCCAAAAGTAATCGATTACTTTATTACTATATCTCAAATAAGTAATCCATTTTTGAACAAAATAATTTACATTTGAATGAATAATTTTTGTAATATGGAATCCAATACGGTTTAAATTTCTCAAATAATAATTTGTTGCATTAAATAAACTGAAATTCGAAAAATGAAATAAAATCTTAATACTCTATAAATTTGAAATAGCCATATTAAAATCAAGTAAACTGAAAAAAACATTAAAAATTCACTTTTTTCAAAAACCATGTTCAATTTGTTTATTAAAAAATTTACGAAATTTTTTGATGCACCATTAAAAAGATCGACTCTTGGCAAAAAAAATGTCTCTATAGCGGAAGATTCTTTTACAGAGTATTGAATTCAAATTTTGTGGAATTTTTTATAAATAAATTAAAGTAACTATTAGTTTTAAAAATTTTTTTTTACTTTTTTCCCTAAAGCAAATGCAAATTAAAAAGTTGGCCTTCACACTCAATTATTAGACATGTGATATAATAATTATTTACTACTATTTATTGAATCTAATGAATGATTTTTTAAACTTTGATAACAATATTAATTAATTTTTTTTTCAGTGAAATATTTGGTTTTTTAATATAAATAAAAATTAATTGGTACAATTTTATTTTATCGGTTCAACTTCGAATAAAGTAAATTATTCATTAATACGAATAAATTTATTACTTAATGCTAATACCCACATTTAACATATAAAAATTTTTACGGCGTCGAATATTAAATTATCGAATTTCTATTTAGCAAAATTTTATAAAGTGAATTTTATATTATGCTAAATTTTCAATTTACATTTAACTAAAATTCGATTTAAAAGAATTTCTATGATGATAATAAATGGATTTTTAAATAAACAAACCAAACAACTCACTACAAATTAATTATCCAAACAAATTAACAACCTAACTACTAATATAATTTCAATTTAACGAAATTTATGTCTATAAAAATTGACAAAAAAAGAACTAAGTAGAATTTTTCTTTAATGAGAATTCTGTTAAATAAGAATTAGTTGGAATTAAAATATTCTTTAATAAAAATTTTGTTAAATAGAAATTCTGTTAATTGTGGATTTATTCAATGACAATTCTGTTAAGTAAATATTTTGATAAATCAAAATTTACTAAAATAACAATTCTGTTAAAAAAAATTGTTCTTTATGCAATTTTTCTTGACATAAATTCCATTAAATTGAAATTGTATTAATTTGAAATTCGATGTACTAGAAAATCTGCTTTATATAATATATTACTAAATAAAAATTTGATAATTTAAGATTTGACGTCGTAAAAATTCTTTTAAATTAAATGTTGAGAATATTTATACGTCCCCAATTAGTTTATTTATTTCACTTAAATATTTTATTTTTTACGAAAAATTATTTATTTGGTTTAAATAAATATGAAATTAGTGGATAATAGACAGATAAATGATTTAAGTGTACCAAAATAAATTTTATTTGATCAAAATAAAAATTTTTTAGTGTAATTTAGGTTAGGGAAAAGTCAGGGAATTTTTTTCCTAGCCGTTGTTAGAGACACCCTGATTTACATGAAAAATAAAAAAATCACATTGCTAAAATATAGTGTTAAACTTCATCACTAAAATTTGTAAATTTTTTTTTTTTAAATAAATTTTTTCAAAAAATAATAATATTCTGGCACATAACAGCGATTCCTTATACTATTTTTGAGTTCTCAACAAAAATTTTA